CAAACCACCCTGAACCATGTATACGCAGCCTGTGAACACCTCGGTCTTATTATCTCCACTGACAAAACTAAGGTGTTCAACAAACAAGCTGGGAACCGCAAACGCAGCCCCGCCAAGTTCAAGATAGGTAACAACACTATTGACTATGTTTCTTCTTTTAAATATCTTGGTGTTTCCGTCCCTTGTACCCTACCTGCCATACAACAGCTAACCCGCCAATGTACTGACAGACTGAGACCTCTTAGAAGTGTAGCGGGGTACAGCCCGCACTATGGTGCTAATATTAGAATTGTTAAAACAATGTACCTAGGCTATATAAGATCTCTGATAGATTACCACGCACCAGCCCTGGTCATTCGTGACGGGAAAGGAGTTGACAAGCTCGAGAAAATGCAAAATAAAGCCCTCAGAATTATCCTAGGATGTCCCATGAGCACTAAAGTACTTAATATGAGGAAAGAACTAGGTATACCCAGTGTTAAAGATAGAATAATTGAAGTCAACCTCATGATGGCCCTGAGGCTTCTGCGTGGTGATCCTGATAACATTGTTTCCTTAAAATTGCTAGAATGTATGAACCATGGGACTACTGAGTCTAAATGGATCCAAACTACAGCTACACATATGAAGATATTTGGACTAGACCACCTGTACAAAGTTGAGACACAACAGCGCTTCCTGCCACCCTGGCGGACAGTTTCCTTCGATATCACAATACCGACGTATCCGCCTAAAAAATTAATTATACAAAGCATTTATCTCCAACACACTGCCAAATTGAGAGCCCTTGAACACATACACACTCTACAGACTGATGATAATATCACACAGACCATCTACACTGATGGATCTCGAAACACCGCCTGTGGGAGGGCTGGAAGTGCTGTTGTTGTGACTCAACCTGACGGTAATATAACTGAGAAAGGAGTTAGAATTAACAACTGGGCATCCACTCTACAAACTGAATTAGTTGCCATACTCACAGCTATTAAATTCATTGAAACCACTGTTACTGACAGTCTCATCATCACTGACTCTCTATCCTCACTACTTGCCCTTGGTGCCCTCGACTCAGGTTGTCACGATCTTGTCTCTGAAGCCAGACACAAATATGCGTGCCTTGTTGACCGGGGTGTCAGGGTCAAACTGTTGTGGATTCCCTCTCACATAGGCCTCATAAAACATGACAGAGTTGATGCCCTCGCCAAACTCGCGTCTAACAAAGACACCGTAGAATACAATTTGGGTCTGTCAAAAAGAACCCTTAAAACTGTAATTAGGAAAGAACTTATTGATGAGTTTTGACGCAAGTAGACAAATTAAACAGGCACTAGTCGTTCATGGCTACGCGTTAGAGATGTATCAAGTGAAACATGTATATGGAGCAAGTAACAAGATCACTAGATTACAAGATGTTGTAACCGCTAGATTAAGGTTAGGATATAAGTACCTCTGGCAGTATGTTCCTCAAGCAGATGTAAACAAAACTAAATGTAAAGTGTGTGGCCATACATATGGCCACACACTTGAACACTACGTCCTCGACTGTGTGAAGATAGAACCTTTTAGGGACAGGTCCAAGCACACTGTGTGAAATGGCACAACACTTCATCTCTAATGGCAAGATAGCCGACATATTAAGATTGTATCCACTTTTTTGCACTCAGTAACTATATCAGTTCTCATGTACAGAACCAAATACGCAATGTGCTTGAATACCTCCCACGTAAATGTGAATAATAAAGTGTGAGGCCAGACATACTGCCTCACACGCCTGTTCTCACGCATTTGTGAATAAGTTACCCTCTATGTATAGAACTAAACAAATAATGTAAATGAAATACTGTGTAACTTTCGGTGCCATAATATCCTGACAACCGGGGTTAATTATTATGACCCTTTGTAAACCCTACTCTGTAATCCTTTTGCGCTACCGCTCACAGGATGAGTGTGGGGTGCACAATAAAGTAGCCGCTGCAAGCGGCAAAATCAAAATCAACCTCTCCCTCTCTCTCCCTTTCTCCCTCCCTCCCTCTCTCCCTTCCTTCCTTTCTCCTCCTCTCTTTCTCCCTCTTTCCCTTCCTTCCCCCCCTCCGTCTCTTCCCTCCTTCCTCCCGTCCTGAAAATACTCAAATCACTTTCGTTCAAATTTTCCACAAACTGAAAATAATGAACACAAAAATGGTGAACTTGGCGGCAATTTAATACTCCAGCGTGACCTTGTGGGTAATGTTGACCAAGGAAACGTAGAAGAGAAACTTGTTATTGGTGATGTCTGTCTGTCTCTCTGTTGTTGTTGTGTAGAGGACGATGCTATTGGTGAATGCAAGTGTTTGTTTGTGTGTGTATGTGTATTTTTGGCTGTGTGGGAGATATGTCATACCTCCTTCCCTCCTCACCAACCTCTCCTTCCTCCCTCCTTCCCAACCTCCTCCCTCCCTCCCTCACCAACACCTCCTTCCTTCCCTCCCCACCCAACACCTCCCCTTCCTCCCTCCTGTCACCCAACACCTCTCCTTCCCTCCTCCTGTCCCAACCTCCCCTTCCCTCCCTCCGTCACCCAACACCTCCCCTTCCCTCCTCCTGTCACCCAACACCTCCCCTTCCCTCCCTCCCGTCACCCAACACCTCCCCTTCCTTCCCTCCACCACCAACACCTCCCCTTCCCTCCTCCTGTCACCCAACACCTCTCCTTCCCTCCCTCCTGTCACCCAACACCTCCTTCCTCCCTCCGTCACCCAACACCTCCTTCCCTCCCTCCTGTCACCTCCTCCTCCCGTCCCCCCTTCCCCCCCCCCCCCTTCCCCCCTCCCCTTCCCTCCCCGTCAACACTCCTTCCCTCCCTCCTGTACCCAACACCTCCTTCCCTCCTCCGTCCCCAACACCTCCCTTCCTCCCTCCGTCACCCAACACCTCCTTCCCTCCTCCCATCACCCAACACCTCCCTTCCTCCCTCCGTCACCCAACACCCCCCTTCCTCCTCCTGTCACCCAACCCCTCCTTCCTCCTCCTCCCAACACTCTCCCTCCTCCTGTCACCCAACACCTCCCTTCCTTCCCTCCGTCACCCAACACCTCCTCCTCCTGTCACCCCAACACCTCCATTCTCCCTCCTGTCACCCAACACCTCTTCCTCCTCCGTCACCAACACCTCCTTCCCTCCTCCATCACCACCCTCCCTCCCGCCCTCACACACACAAGCACAGTAGATAATTATATAAACACAAACCACAGTAAATTTAGAACGAATTAATGAACATCATTTGTGTTTGTTAATAATAAGTAATAGTTTTTGCTCTGTGAATAATAACGTAATACTGAAGACGATAACAGCTTGGGGGAAATATCTGAGGTATAAAGTTTGTGAACACTTGTAAGAACGTTTAGTAGCTGAATACGTTGAAATTATAAGATAGATTCTAATTTACTCTTTGTTTCTGGTCAAACTTTGGCTATATTTCTTATAAATTACTTTTAATTACAACTCCTATATTAAAAACTTTTGCTCCAGCTGTCATAGAACCGTTTTCTTCGACGGTAAAGACAGAGAGAGAGGGACGGGAGACTCGTATAAACCGTCCACCTCTGTCTGCCCTGTTGATGGCCTCAACTCTCGTAAAAATGATAATTTTTCGTTCTTCATTTTCTTTATGGACAACTTAAATGCTAATGACTAAAAAAATTTAATATAAGTCTACTTAGTCAGAGGTAATGTGCGCCCCACAGTGGTAGTGGCTGAGGAAGTTGGCCGCTGCGGTGTACTGTAGAGGGTGAAGCTTCTCTTTCGTGTGACTTAAATCCCCCCCAAAAAATGTCAGCAATTTTCACTATTCCTACCAACTGCGGGTGATGGTAGCGTGTGACCCGAGCTGGCACAACAAGGTGATTGCAGCAGTGGAGGCGAAACAAAAGACTTACTTGTTCTTACAATTATTTCCCAAAAAAACAAACAAATATAATGAGTTAGAAGAGTAGTGAGGCATTGGCTTGAAAAATACGCCTCGTGAGATAATGTCTTGTTTTCTCGTCACCTGCAGAATGTTAACCCTTTTCACTCCGTCTCTGTGTACCGAGAAAAGGCTTAGTATACAGTGTACTATATCCGCTCTTACTCTAACAAGCCGTCTATGAGACCCACTTAGAAGGTTCGCTAATGTGTGTAGTTTACTGTATAGTGTCCCTATGAGGCGTCACTGTCTTGGCAACACTAACTGAATTACGTAACCTAACCTAACCTAATCTAACCTATCCTAACCAATCGGCTTTTTGATTCAGATATAAACATTATTTTTACTCTTGACATAATTTACCCCCAAATTGATAATAAATAAGTTTCATTATATAAGATAGAGGTCATTAGAATAGAGTTTGGTCACGTGTGTAAAGTTAAGTAGTACCAAGTTCCTCTCCACGCTCGTTTAGTTCAGTAAATCTTAACTATTTCCGGGACAACTGGCTGCTGAATAATTCTAAGGTTAGGTGTAAAAATGACCTGGCTTACTGCCCACCTCCCTTGACCTAGCACTGACCCTACTTTTGGCTTTTCTGACCTGACTCTCTCTGTCTTTTAATTACCGAGATTCTCACTAACTGGCCCCTTAACAACCATTCAATATTCCAACTAATTAATTCCTAATACCTGTATAGATTCACCTTAACCCTTAATTACCTTCTGGATAACCAGTTAGCTGAGGTATAATTAAGTCTATCCTGGTATATTGCTAAACACTAAGTCACTCTGTGGAGTGTTTGTATTAGTGTGGCGTCAACATACTGGATGATTATTGGTCAATATTACTGCTGACCTGACCTGACCCCCCACCCCATCATCCCCTCACCCCCCTCCCCCCAGAATATATTAATTTGATCACTTTATTTACTTCATCTGAGTGCCTCCCTCTCCATATCTTCTCACTCCACATCTTCCTCCCACTCCACATCTTCCTCCCACTCCACATATCCTTCTCAAATTAATATTAATCCTTGGTGCGTGTTCTACAGGATGCCGGGGAGGCTGCGTGTGGAGGATGAGGACTGGGGGGGTGGTGGTGCTCTCTCGACGCTTGTAGGGACGGCCGTATCCATGGTGCTGGATCCTGAAGAAGACTACCTCAATCTTTCTCTCGTCAACGCTTCTACAGGTGGGTCCTCTCTTGTTTTAGTAGTAGGGCACCCTAGTTCACCCAGCTGTAATTGGGTATCTAAGCATACAGATGGGGAAAGCTGAAGGTATCTATAGAAAACTTTTCACGCTAAGCTGGCCCGTAAGCCCCGCCCCATCGTCTATAGCTACAAAAAACTAATTGGTTCCCCTGAGCGTTCTACCTTCCCCCAGACTGCCTTGAAATTATTTGCATTTTTACAGTCCAGATATATAACATTATTTTAGATAATAATAAGTTTGCTTACCAACTGTGAACTCATTCAGTTTGAATTTTCTATGAACCAATCAACTATTAGTATAGAAGAGGGGCGTGGCATATGGGCCAGGTTAGCATGGAAATACTATTGTGCAGAGCCTCTCACACTAGCTCCTTCTGTGCTGTAAAAAAAGGCTTAGTCTACAGTATATTGTACCCACACTACCCCTAACGAGGTGTCAGGTCCATGCCACTCACTATAATCTTCACCTCCTAATAGGGATTTTGGATATTTTCAGTAACAAAGTTGTATACATAAGCGGCTTTACTGCAGAGACTCACACACACTGGAAGACATACGAGGCAAACACTCACTGTACGACACTCAGCTGTAGTGTGATGTATTTTGGAGTGTAAGAACTTATATTACTACGGTGTTAGAGAGATAGGTAACACATACACTATCCCATTACTCACTGGTGCACACATACACACTCGATAGTGACACCATATTGCACTCTAGATTCACAGGTAAACTTATGACCAAAGATCCTCCAGAACATTAATGTTTAACACGGATGCTTTATTATATGATTCATCTCTGTGTAGCTTAATAGTTATATTATACACGTGATAATAATGTGTTTCATCATATACAGCCACTCGGGGTGATCGATCAATTTCAGAATGAACACTACGACTCATGTTGTATCGGTAGGGTTGTCAAAATCCTTCGTCCTTTGTGAAATATTTTCTTAACACAATTTCGTAAAGATTGTTTTTTTGAGTGACTGTGCAACATTGCAGCTGTGCATTATTTCACTCCAGAATGTCTCGTTACTAAAGCATTACGGAGGACTGAGAGACGAGCTAGTCTTCAAGGGAAATGAGAGAAGGGTTATTGAGTCAATGGCGTGTGTGTGACCTTGGCCAAGCTCCAGTTAGGTTATTGGTTTAGAAACTGTCTATAAGCCCGGTGTGATGAGAGGTCTACCCAGGTGGTAACGTCTCTGAGTACGGGTTTGGTATCCTCACCGCCCCTGACCAATGCCTCTGTGTTAGAAGAGAGATGAGACAATTATTTCTTTTATCATAACACAACAATATCATATTTGTCATTTACTGATTCTCAACCTAACCTAACCTAACCCCCCCCCTCCCAGGTAGCGTTACGGTGTTTAATCATCAGCTGACATAAAGTAGGGTGGCTAATCTTCACCTGATTTCCTTTTATATTTTTCAATGTATTATTCACGTCTCGCTGTAGATCATCCTGTGAATAATGATCCAATATATCTTCATACTTCTCACAGCATATTGTATATTTCTTGCCACCTCAGCAGAGTCTCGCCACACTGTCTATATAAATCTGTCTGCAAACATATATTGCTTCACGTCCTGATAGATAGGCAATATTGCTCGCTCTTATTTTGGTATCTGAGACCAAACCCAATGACAGCTGAGCCTCCCTCGAGGTTGTCCTTCACGGGGAGGAATGAGGGGGAAGAGAGCAGAGATAAAGTGGAGGAGGACCTTTGATGTGAGACTTGAATAGAAGGGGGCGACGCGGAAAGATCGGGAGAGTGTGGGGAGAATAGATGAAAGAGATATGGGGGGGGAGGGAGTATGGGGGATTGGGGAGGCTAGAAGAAGGAGGTGTGAGGGGAGAAAGTGAGAAAGATATGTGGGAGTGTGAGGGGGAGACAGAGGTGTGTGGGGAGGAGAGAAGAAAGAGGTGTGGGTTGTGAGGGGGAGACAGAGGTGTGTGGGGAGGAGAGAAGAAAGAGGTGTGGGTTGTGAGGGGGAGATAGATGTGTGTGGGGAGGAGAGAAGAAAGAGGTGTGAGGGAGGAGGCACTGATCCCTCACATTCACTCCCAATAGGCACTCATCTCTCCCACTCGCTCGCAATAGACACTCATCCCTCTCAACGTAGAAAAGAGAGGGAAAGTGAGAGATACACAAGAGAGAGAGAGATGGATAGAGAGACAAAATTTACGTTAAAATTACCCTTGAGATTTTGCGTTAACTAGATACGTTCACTTTATACCTGACAAGACTAAGGTTCTGTCTGCTTTATTTTTGTCTCTTAACGGGTACCAAGTGAACGTATCTAGTTAGGTTAGGAAGCCTCAGGGTAAATTGGGCCCTGTTAGTGGGGATCGTAGCTCTAAATATACCAGTTAACAACATTATTTTATCCTCAATTACGAGAAATAATCATCATTCAATTCCTGGAGACTCGCATTACAAGACTCACTGCGCAGTATTTACGTAAGAACTCTTTTTTTTTTATCCAATCCCGGTGTAAGATAATACTCCCAGGGAAGTACTTTTGCAGGTAAGGAAATACTGCGTGACTTTATCAACCTTTTGGGCTGTTATCTCCCCTGGTCGTCCGTCTGCCGTGATTTCACCCAACCAAAATAGACATCGACTGTGGATTCACATAACGGCGGAAAATTACACCAGACAGATACAAATGAGGGGAAATGGACTGGAATTCGATGCCAAAATGCGACCTTCTTTAATAAAGTGATTCTCTTTAGGGGGTTCCAAGCCGTCAAGAGAGTTAGGTTGGTGCCAGGGCGTCGATCTAATGCAGATACTCTCTTATATCTATAACTTGTTTTCAGACGTTTATGAAAAAAATTGAAATTTATGATAAACACGCGAATCAGATTTTTTTTTCAATTTCACAGAAAAAATAATAATCAAGGCGTCCAGCATCCCTCGAGCCTGGATTATTTCCGATGTTCAGATGTTTTATTGTGTGTCAGATGAGCTTTAAGCTGTTATAAATTATGGAGATTCTTTGTAAATAAATACTGTGACGTCCTCTAAGGCTGACTGTCTTCTTCCCTCCGCAGTTGTCCCGACCAACAGCAGCGAGTTGGCGGGTAAAGACATCGTGCGTCACCTCAAGCCAGCCTACCAGGTCCTCATCACTGTCTTCTACGTCTTTGGCATCTTGGGCAACGTCGCCGCCCTCTTCATCATCACCAAGAATGAGACGCAGAGATACAGGAAACAGGTGAGTTGTTATCTCTCTCTCTCTCTCTCTCTCTCTCTCTCTCTCTCTCTCTCTCTCTCTCTCTCCCAGGCACTCATTTTCTCCCTCTCTCTCTCTCTCAGACGTTCATGCTGCGCTGTCTGGCCGGGAACGACTTACTGGCGCTGCTGGGATCGTTCGTGCAGATGTACGTCCAACTCTACCTGCCTAACGCCAACGGGAAGTTACTGTGTGCCTCCAGGATCATCTTCAGGGCCTTTGGGCTTGGCTCAGGCTGCGTCGCTCTTGTGATGGCTGTCGAACGCTGGCTGGCCCTCACACACCCCTTCACCTACCAGAAGGTTAGTGGCGTCAGGCTGGAGCTCACTCACTCACTCACTCGCTCAACCAGCTATCAAGGGGTGACTCAGAGGTCTAACTAACTGGGAACTTGCTAACTCTTTTAACTTCCTTATCCTGAAGAACATTATCCTTCCATCGAGTCCCTTCACCCGTAAGAATATCAGTACCAGGTGGATGACACTCCTTCACCTGGTAGAAGACTCCTGACCACTTAACCAGGAAGTTAATTAGTGGCAAGTAGGTACATTTGCCCCCTTATCCTTACCTGTTCTAATACCTTTATAGTTTAACTTCATATAAACTCAATTCCAAAATGACTTTATCTCCAATTTCCGTCACTTTTCTGTTTCCTCTTTGGGACGGGAACAAAAGGAGTTGACAGGACAAGGTGGTACACTGATAAACAGAAGGACAGTTAGACAAAACGGGAAGACAGGTGTGTATGTTCCGTGAGGATTGACACATATACCTGTACCTGTATACCCAGTTTAGGAAGGTTGAATTAGTAAGTGTGGGGGAGAGGAGGGCATGGGTTGAACAGGAGGCCATGGGTTAAACAGGAGGCCATGGGTTGAGCAGGAGGCCATGGGTTAAACAGGAGGCCATGGGTTGAGCAGGAGGCCATGGGTTGAACAGGAGGCCATGGGTTAAACAGGAGGCCATGGGTTGAGCAGGAGGCCATGGGTTGAAGAAGAAGTTTGTCTGTCTGTATTTCATCTGTTTACCTTCTCTTCTGTTTACTTTCTCGAGTGTTTACCTTCATTCTCTTGTAATACATCTTCCCTCACTTCATGACCTCTTGACCTCATGACCTCTTGACCTCTGGCACTTGGTGAGATTCTCCTGTCACCTTCACTTACCTTATAACGAGACAAACAAAGACTCAAGACCTCTGTTGCTTCCTCGGGGTAATTTGGTGAAATCAACGCGTTTGAGGGTATTCTGGGCGCTGATTGGCCCTTTTGCTTTCCTTCATGTCCAATAGCGTTTCTCTCATACTAGATTCACCATCTTAACCTAAATTAACCTTAAGTAATCTAATCTAAGATAATTTGACCTAAATTAATGCTAACCTAACTCATCTTGACCTTACATTACATAACTTAACCAAACCTACATATCTGTGTGTCTGTCTGTCTGTCTGTCTGTCTGTGTCTGTCTGTGTCTGTCTGTGTCTATCTGTCTGTCTGTCTGTAAGAAATGCAATATTAAACACCTGAAACATTCTCTGACTTACTCCCGTGATCAACTCTCCCCACAGCACGTAACACACGCTGTGATCCGACGGTCGATCTTGGGCCTGTGGACGTTCAACCTGCTGGTGGTGTGTGCGCCTTTCGCGGGGTTTGGTCTCTGGTACGACGAGAGCTTCACCCCGCCCTGCGTCCGCTACCGTCTGGCCAAGTCCGTCCTCGACCGCACCTACGCTTATCTTGTCTTCGCTTACGGTAACCTCCTCGTAATTATAATATTGCAACAGTAACACATCAGTAGTAATCTTGCAACAGTAACACATCAGTAGTAATCTTGCAACAGTAACACATCAACCGTAATCTTGCAACAGTAACACATCAACCGTAATCTTGCAACAGTAACACCAACAGTAATCTTGCAACAGTAACAACAGCATATCAACAGAATCTCGTGTTTGTTATTGTCGTAGTGTGAGTAATGAATACACCTGCTTTTATGCTCATTAAGTTACCTGTGTTTTGGGGCCACATAGTCACCTGCGTTTTAATTCACTTAGGCACCTGTTATTAGGTCTAATTAGGTACCTATTTTTTTAGGTTCACAGTCACCTGCTTGATACTCCACTTACTCACCTGTCTGGCAACCCACTCACCTGTCTAGCAATCCTCTTTACCTCTCGTATTCTTAGTGTTTCATAACTAATGGCGCTGACACATCCTAATCTACACTTTCATCAACACACTGCCTTCCTACACGACCACTCAGTAGCCCTTCACCCCACCTGACCCAGATTCGTGTCTTAAGCTGAGTTAATTAGATTTCGTTGACCTCACTAATGGCATGCACCTGAAAAATCTCCACCCCAGCTTATTTCACCTGAAGGTTAACCACCCTAGCACTATTAGGGGGGGGTCGGTTAGGTTACAGCGGGCCTATTGGCCCATACTGGGCAGTGGGCAGTCCCATTTACACCCAGCCCCTATTGCTCATATATCCATCCAACCTAAGTTTGAAGCTATCCAGCGTATTCGAGTTAATGATGATATTTGGTAACATGTTCCGGTCGTCCACAACTCTATTTCCAAACCAGTGTTTACCTATTTCGCGCCTAAATCTAAATTTGTCTAATTTAAAACATTGTTACGAGTTCGCTCCTGGTTGGAAATTTTGAGTACCTTTGTAATGTCCCCTTTGTTTAGCCCTGACTTCCATTGATACACCTCGATCATGTCGCCCCTCGCTCTACGTCTCTCGAGGGAGTGCAAATTAAGATGCTTGCAAATTAAGATGCTTGCAAATTAAGATGCTTGCAAATTAAGATGCTTGTGCAAATTAAGTTAGGTTAGGAAAAGGTTAAGTTAAGTTAGTTTTAGGATAGATCAGTTTAGGTTAGGTTCAAGTTAGCATTAGGGTGATTAATGATTAGGTGAAATAAACAAGGATGGAGGTTAATTCAGGTGATCCAAGTGACGTCACCCTCGTCGAAAAGGTCAAGGGTTACACACACACACACACACACACACAAATCACACATTTTACCTTCCTCGACGCACCTGATGGACGATATGTCAACACACTGTATAATATATTCTGTATTTGGCATAATATAAGACTCTCAGCTTACACATGCATCGGGGACGCGTACACTGGCTCCAAAAAATGTCTTAGCGGTTGCGGTCGATGAATTTCACAATGAACACTACGACTCCTGCTATTTCGGTATTGTCAGAATCCTTCGTCCGTTGTGTCATATTTGTCTCGTAGAAAATCATTTAATATACTTTTTGGTGATGCGTACAGACACACAATAAGAACTGTGGTCAGACCTCTTAGTTCTGTCGAGGTGTAGTGATTTATTGTTGGGGTGGAATATATTATTGTTGTTTCTGTTAGTGTTTTTGTCTTCGTTGTGTTCTTGGTGTTTGCTTTCTTAGTTCTGTTGTTGCTGTTATTTTTATTTGTTATTGTTGTTGTTTTTGTTAATTCAATGACTAAACACGAATCAGTTTACAGAATTTATTATCTACGAAGATCAGTGAAAAGCTAAAAATAAATAAAGGGGGGTGGGGAAGTAGATTTTTTTTATATAATTTTGTTTTTCATTTTATTTTTACCCAGAATATACTTTATGAGGAGTCTGTAATGGCTTAAACCTTTCAACGGGATAAAACACGGAAATAAAAGTCGATAGTTAGGTTAGGTTGGGTTTACACATTTGATTATTTTTTTTTTATCTAGGATTGTGTAAGGTGGATGATTTTAAAAAGGTCTATTCCTTGCTCACCCCCTAGCGAGCGACCTTGTGCGTCCTGGGAGAGTAAATTGCCAATATCCTTAGTGAGGGAGAGGATGATGTCACACGTAAACAGACATTAATGATGTGGATAATAGAAGGACTTAAACCCTCTGATGGAGCTAAGTCATGTTGATAATTATGACTCTCTCTTTATATATCTTTGTTACTTACTTATTTAACGATATTTAAGTTTACTAATATAAATATCAGAGAGTTTACCATACACTGTGTAATGATAGAGAGCTTGTGTGTAAAATTTAATCGCATAGTTTTCATTTACACTTACACAATGGTACGATAATTCTAGGTTATTTGTATATATTTTTTTTCATTTACTCACTTGCCAGATTCTTTACTGACCCCGCTACCTCCTTCATCCCCTCCTGCAGGCATGGTGATGTGTGCCGTGATCGTCTGCTGTAACCTGGCGGTGATCCGGGTACTGTGCAGGATGCGGGAACGTCTACTACCTCGCCGTCATTCCAGAGCCTCCTGCCGCAGCTCGTCCTCTACCTGCGGCGATCACTCCATGAACCACGCCACCGTAGAGGAGCTCTCCTTCGCCCGTCTCATGGCAGTTCTCTCTATCTTCTTCGTCGTGTGTTGGGTCCCGCAGCTGGTGAGTCTTCCTGTAGGTGAACCATCCTGACCAATGACTGATCTGTGTTACCCTAAGACTGATCATACTGTGACCCTAAGACTGATCATACTGTGACCCTAAGACTGATCATACTGTGACCCTAAGACTGATCATTCTGTGACCCTAAGACTGATCATACTGTTACCCTAAGACTGATCATACTGTGACCCTAAGACTGATCATACTGTGACCCTAAGACTGATCATACTGTGACCCTAAGACTGATCATTCTGTGACCCTAAGACTGATCATATTTAGTCCTCTTGCTTGACCTTCCTATGATGGTCAGTGATGCCACATACTGACCCGCGCTCTCCCCTGCCCACAGACTACCATCATCGTGGCACAAGTGGTGGGCGCCAACAAGGGTATCTACCGGCTAGCTGACGTCTTCATTGCCCTCAACTTTACCCTTGACCCGTAAGTGTGTGTCTCTCTCTCTCTCTCTCTCTCTCTCTCTCTCTCTCTCTCTCTCTCTCTCTCAAACATCACAGACTTCACCTCACTATACCGTCGAATTACATCTCCATGACTACCAACTCACTCTCCATCTTTCACCGGTAATTATCTCAGCAACATCACCCGGTTCTTGTTGTTTCCTTTGCCTAGAATTTAATTTGTTTACATTCAAAAGTCCCGTCGCTTCTTCTGGTATTCCACGAACCCCTGAGATCCAGACTCTTGAACCCGAAGCCGAACACACTGATGAATTATTCTCTCCATAATTGCTTCGGATTCATGAGTCTGAATCTCTGGGGTTCATGGAATAGCAGAAGCGACGGGACTTTTTGTGAGCGATTATACGACGTGTGAAGAGGCTACGCATGACGCCACGGGCAGTTTCGCGTGAACGTCAGAAGAAGTCGCCTACAATTTGCGAAATCAAGTCTTCCCTTGGATACACAAACTATAGCGAGGGTCAATGGGCTTTTATTTTTATGTTTTCTCCCACACTTAAACACTCGTGGCCTCTCAGTATATCCACGACCGAGACAGTTTCGAAATATCACGGAGAGAATTTGGGGTTAACGAGAGGCTTTATATCTCCTTCATAATTACTGGGAAAGCAAAAAACACATAAGTGTCAGTGATCATCCTCAAGCCGGTGTGTGAACGATGACATCTGCCCCTCCAGAGATTCCACAAAACATCGTAAAACCTGATAAAAACATTAGACAACACTTAAGAGCTGAATCCCATTGAAAATTAAACACCATTATCATCACTACACTCACACTATAGTAATAAACAGAGGATAGTGTTATAGTGTTGTATAGTGACACATTGCAGCGGTGTCTTGAGCTCAATATAACCAAACACACCGGGTGCATCTTTCGCCCTGAGTTCATTCGTCTGATCCTTCTAATTAAAAGGGAACCTCACGACCTATTAATCCAGGCCAGACGTTTTCAAGTGTCCCCGTTCTTAAGGTGGTGGTGGTAGTGGTGGTAGTGGTGGTGGTGGTGGTGGTGGTAGATAGTGGTGGTGGTAGTGGTGGGTTGTAGTGGTAGGTGGTGGTGTGGTGATAGGGTGGTGGTGGTAGTGGTAGTGGTGGTGGTGGTGGTAGTGGTGGTGGTTGTAGTGGTAGGTGGTGGTGGTGGTGATAGTGGTGGTGGTGGGGCAGAGGTCGAACTACACCATTATTTACACCACAAGGTCTTACCCCACAAGAAGCACCTGTCCACCACAAGGCCAAACACATCAGGTACTGTTCACTAAGACGTTTTGTTATCTGTTTCATCAAGATCAACGTCCTCTCTCTTAATCACCCTAAACTTATTCTTTTTTTTTTCAATTAACAAAAAATCTAAACTACTATATGATTGTTTTCTATAATAACTTTAAGTACAGTAAATAAAACTTAAAGGGGCTTTTCAACAGACTTTCCATCTTAATGTGTTGTTGAAGAAGATTAAATAAAAGCATCTGACTTTATGTTCCAGTAATATTTTCGTACAACATAACATAACGAGTAAACAATTTGCTGTACCAATGACAAAATCAAGCATGGACTTATATACACATATCATTACCTCATACGGGAGCTGTGTCACACCTCTCTCCCAGGTACATGTACGTGCTGTTCCGTCGCAAGCAGCGCTACAGTCGACGTCACCTGAGGAAGCTGGTCACCTACCTGTGTCCTAACCGCCTGCAGGGGTCTACTGACCGAGGCCTCATCACCAACTCGGTCAGGTCGTCGTCACACACCTCCCACAACACCAACGGTCAGTTCCTGGACCCCTTTAACCTGTTGTTTCTTACCTGGGTGTGTGTTGGTAAACAACTATACATACAGGGTGCTAGTATACATACAGGGTGCTAGTATACATACAGGGTGCTAGTATACATACAAGGTGCTAGTATACATACAAGGTGTTAGTATACGTACAGGGTGCTAGTATACATACAAGGTGTTAGTATACATACAGGGTGCTAGTATACATACAGGGTGCTAGTATACATACAAGGTGCTAGTATACATACAAGGTGTTAGTATACATACAGGGTGCTAGTATACATACAAGGTGCTAGTATACATACAAGGTGTTAGTATACATACAGGGTGCTAGTATACATACAGGGTGTTAGTATACATACAGGGTGCTAGTATACATACAAGGTGCTAGTATACATACAAGGTGTTAGTATACATACAGGGTGCTAGTATACATACAGGGTGCTAGTATACATACAAGGTGCTAGTATACATACAAGGTGTTAGTATACATACAGGGTGCTAGTATACATACAAGGTGCTAGTATACATACAAGGTGTTAGTATACATACAGGGTGCTAGTATACATACAGGGTGCTAGTATACATATTGGGTCGCCAATTCAGATACAGTATTACACCCATTATGTATTTCACTAAGATTCATTACCAGGTCTAACCTTTCATTAACTAATACTTGAAAGTACTTAAATGTATTCAAGTATATTTCATCAAGTACAATTACAGTTTATTGGTGTATATTTTTAGTGGTGGTGAAGAGGAACACGTACATAGGAGTGATTCTGTGTACAGGTGTGAGGTTAATCTGTACAGTCAGTGATCTCGTGTGCCTCCAGGGCCTGAGTCATGGGGGAAGCGTTATAAATTAAGAGGTTTTGACTGACTGACTGACATATCGGAATCTAAGCGACTTTTTTGGATGATTTTATTGAATCTCACTGAATATTGGTTGAGATTTGGGTTGATTTCAGTGAGGTTATCTACTTTTTGAGTTGAGAGAGTTAACAGCAATGAACTAGCTCGCTGTAGTGAAGGTTATGTTATCTCAGTAGAAAAGTTGTAAGATGAGACACGCGAGTGGCATATATGACACCTCAGGCAGCTTCTCCTTCACACACACACACACACACACACACACACACACACACACACACGCATTATTTTAACTGCTGATAATTAATGTGATTACTAAAGTATTATACATGTTTAAAAGACCTTAGGTATTAAAGCACTGTAATGTATTTTAATGTGGGGTTTGGTTATTATAAGGCAATGGCAGTATTATGAATTGGTGTTTCTACAGACACTTTATGCGTTATTATGTGTATTACTTACATTACTTTACATACATGATTCTTGATAGACTTTAGGTTAGAGAGAAATCATAACTTATTGAATTTTTCTGGGTACCGTTACGTTGATTGGCTGTCACAAATGGTTGCAGACTATAAGATAACCAATCAGCTTGGATTTGGGAACTCATCGTTATGTCCAGCAAAACATTCTTCAGGTAAACTCCTCTCTAATTTGTTGCAGTAGGAGAAATAATTCAAGTTAGTTCATTGTCTGTACACTCTCTCACTGAACTATTCTAAGACTGTGAGGAGGAGGAGAGGGCTACGTGTGTATCCTCTCGAGTTGTTGTAATAAACTTTATCCTGCAACACAGTTAACTGAGACTGGTGAAAGATCAACAGGTTCTTGAGGACAGTTATAAACATTTACAAGAACATCGTAGACCTCTTACTCTCTCGTCAGGTTTGGCAATGTATCACAGCGACTCTACATCTTTTCATCATTAATCATTGCACTGCGCTTTTGACTTGGCAGCACCAATGGCAGTTTTGCTTTATGTTATTTTGCCATTTTATTAACTGCTGCATATTGCTTTATCTATGCAGTGCTTACAGTTTTGTGCTTAAAGACATGGCCAGTGAAACAATAACATTACAGAGATTAGATTACTGGGACAAAACCCTAAAAATAGTGTATGTATTATGTAACAGTGTGGTAGATCAGTGTGTATTAAGTACTCTCAAGGCAGTGTATACAACCCTATATGTCTTACTAGCCTTATTCTTATTTGTTTGGTTATAACATTTACATATTTTATTCTGTCTCTAAAATATATCTTTTTAATATCAACCTCTGAGTTTTCTCACAATTGTTCTTCTAATCTGTTTCCTCACACCATCCCTCCTCCAGTTACCTGTCTGCACACTGTCTTTCTCAGAGCAATAACACTTGTAGTCTACCATACCAAACATCTCTTCAGTTAGAGTTTTGTTCTTATAGAAACCTTTGTTTTACTTACTGCAGGCTCAACCAAGTGTAGAGGGCCGAGCTGCCGAGATAGACCCCTAATTATGAAGGTATTCAGCAACACCAGCAACTGTGACAGGACAGAAGCCCATAATTTTGGCAATAATCCTTCATTTCTCTTTTATCTGTCCCTACTTATGTCCGTGTGTAAGACCATGCATGAATCCCTCGCTTAGGAAGAGGCGGTATTAGCAGCTTCAGTTTTACCTGTAGCTTCCGTGACGTTACATATTGCACTCCCATTCAACGTGACCTGTGGCTTTTCTCCTGACGGGGTTGTCTCTAGTGTTGATTTCCCCTTCTGTGTCCCAATACCTCCTCTCCTCCCTTGCTCTGTTATCCTGCCTGCTTCTATGGCACCTATCAACACTGTTCTCTCGACCTGTACTTGATGTCCACACCATCTGAGGTCCTCCCACTCCCTTAACTATTCTCTCTGTTGTCTTCTTTACAGTTCATTCTCCTCCTCCTCCTCCTCCTCCCCCTTCTCCTCCTTTGCTACTCTTGTTCTTACTGCATCCACTTTGCCCATAGTGCCCTGGATAGCCCCCCACCTGCCCTCTTAACAGCCCTCTAGCCCATGTAACAGCCCTCTCACCCTCTCTTTCGTCTTCCTTATTATACCTCTCAGTCATCACAGGATCAGAAGGTTATTGTCAAGTCCCGTGCTGTCTGGTGTCTGTCTGTCAACATCTTTCTCCACTTTGGTTCCTCACTAACGAATGCACAGAACCACAGGGAAGCTTGAATGCTCATGATGCTAAGATGTGCCTGTTGATAGCGGCCGATTAAGAGGGGGATCAGTTAATGAGTTAATGACCATATATTTTGTCCCTCAGCGGCCAAGGAGTCATCCGTATTTTCAGCGGACTTACAGTAGTACTTTCTCCCATCACTACACCCGTACCGTCACAACACCCATACCATCTCTACACCCGTACCATCACTATACCCGTACCATCACTATACCCGTACCATCACTACACCCGTACCATCACTACACACCATCACTTACCATCTTCCTTGTCCCTATGAATCTGTCCCCCGTGTCTCGAACCTTTCCCTCAGGTCATCGCCGGTAGTGACGACAGAGCATGATCTAGTACTGTACTGCTGTTGTTTCTCCCTCCCATAGTGCTGCCTTCTCCCTCCCATATAGTGCTGCCTTCTCTCCCTCCCATAGTGCTGCCTTCTCCCTCCCATAGTGCTGCCTTCTCCCTCCCATAGTGCTGCCTTCTCCCTCCCATAGTGCTGCCTTCTCCTCCCATAGTGCTGCCTCTCCCTCCCTATGGTGCTGCCTTCTCCCTCCCATAGTGCTGCCTTCTCCTGCTTGTAATACATCTGTCATTAAGGCCAGAGATGTGTAGCTTGATATAAATGTCTTATTAGTAGACATCATTTATGTCTGGTAAGGTTGTATACATCAAGGCACGTTGACCATGTCTGACTGTTGGACTCTGACTCAGACGTTCACTACTGTACTTAATGACCAAACAGCTGGACCAGTAGTGCACGTGTCTTGTGTGACACACAGGGTGTTAGTAAGGCACCCAGTGTGACACAGGGTGTTAGTAAGGCACCCAGTGTGACACAGGGTGTTAGTAAGGCACCCAGTGTGACACAGGGTGTTAGTAAGGCACCCAGTGTGACACACAGGATGTTAGTAAGGCACCCACTGTGTTACACTGGGTGTTATTAAGGCAATCAAATTTACTGTACACCTGGCATAATAAGAGACAGCATCACCTGAGTTAAGGCCGCCGGTGTCTTTACCCTTTGATCAACTGTCTGGGATAACACCCATCATGGGCTAAACACTTCGAATGCACTAACAGTTCATTACTACTCTTAAAAGTGCCCTGCTGCTCTCCTAACACTGTCCCCCTTCCGGCTACCTGTACAGTGGGGCCAACAGTGTAGCCAAATTCCTCAAAAATTTACTATAATAATTAAACAGACTTAACCATGAACGTAAGGTCTTCTCAACAGTAGGAGGAAGTGTTTTACTCTCGCCTCAGTACCCCGCTTAAACTGCTTTAACCTCAGCCCCGCCCGGCTTATTCTTCTCAGTACCTCCCTCAAGGTAGCGTCATGCTCAGCTGGAGTAGCACCTCTGACCACAACGTTGTCCACTAATACCGTGACACATGGTAACCCCGCCAGTAGGCTTCTGGAACATGACCACAGCAGAATGAATGTCAAAGGAAAGTCTTGTAAACATTTTATGGCCTTGAGATGTACAGTATTTATTACCATATATTTTTGAGAGGCTTCACCACCCTCTGTCTGACTGCATTGGCCTGACTCATGTCTTGTTTACTGAACAGCTTACAGTCTGACACGGGAGTAAACAATTTATCCACTTTTGGTAAGGGTTACTGCTCTTAGGTGGCCACTGTACTCACAATTAACTTAAAATCACTACAAATTCCGTGCCAGTACTGACGTTAAGTAATAAAAGTAAGGCTTGGTCATAATAATAACTTCGACCACTGATCAGGCGGGTTGTGTGAAGTCATAGAAGAGAGAACTGGCTTGAGGCAAACAGAGGGCAGGGCAACAACTGTAAACCGTGTAATAATAATAATAATAATAATAATTAACGGTTTATTGAAAGAGCTTGGCAGCCAGAAGGCTGAAAATATACAGTTACATATTTGGGGAATGGGTTACGAATTACAAATAATATACAAGTAACATAAGTGACACAAATAAGACATATAATAACTAGATGGGGAAAAGCTCAAACTACAGTTCATTTCAACATAGTGACAGTGTAAGGAGCAGTGTTAACTGGGAGTGAATACACTGATTTATTACAAGTGTGTGTGTGTGTGTGTGTGTGTGTGTGTGTGTGTGTGTGTGTGTGTGTGTGTGCGTGTGTGTGTGTGTGTGTGTGTGTGTGTGTGTGTGTGTGTGTGTGTGTGTGTGTGTGTGTGTGTGTGTGTGTGTTCATATCTACAACATAAGTTTATTGTTCTCAGATGCGTATTATCACAATGAAAATATTCACTAATTCACTTAGAGTCTTGCAATTAAAACATATATTGTACATTATCACAATTAGATTTCAGTTTTGGATTCACATATAAAATCGTGTGGTTTCTCCCTCCATCGGATTGGTGGAAGTAATGTATTTTAAACAATGTCTTCTTTATGCCTTCCCCTTTATGTCTTTCTTTATGTCTTCATTTTATGCTTTTCTTTGGTTTAATTATAGATCATTTTATTGACAGGAGACATCAGTGCCAAGAACACGGTATCCTCCAACACTGCCACTAGTGAAAAAGAGTATGTGCCTCTCCAACTACTGCTCTCCTCCACAAAGGCTACAGAAATTGACTGCAAGTCCTCAGTCATCTAAGGCGACGGAAGATACATGCTTTGTGAGCGAGCAGCTCCATATTTACAGCAGAGAAACTCAGAATCTTGAAACTGAAGCCACAGAAAACAGAATGTCTTACACCTTGTCAAAAGAAGCTGCTCTTAGTGGCCTGAACACACCAGAGGTAGATGAACACTCTTATGTTATCGTACACGCAGGAGAGAGTGACGGCAAAAACTCGTGGATTTGTTTGTCACAGGAAAATTCATTTTCAGTCTTTTGCGAAGAAATCAATAAAGAAGAAGATAATTCCTCTTTTAAAAACGTAAAGCGTTGGTCTTTCTGCTACGGTGAAGATGAAAGACTGGAAATTTTACCCAAATCACTTCATAAACATGGCCTGAGAAACAGAACCTGGCTATTAAACCCTTGGCACACGTGGAAAATGCCCCTCTGGAAAAGCCAAGGTGAGTTGTGGTCCAGAATGAAAACTGACGTGTAGTCCAGAGACACGCGGTCGAGGAGTGGTCGATGTCATTCGTGTATACATGAACTGTGTTGTTTACTGCGAGAGTATGCTCATAATTATATAAGTAAATGTGAACCACAATGTGTTGTTTGGTTAATGTGTTCTCTTATAAGGACGTGAGAACAAGTATAAGTATCTCACAGCTGTGCTTTAATGAACTGTTATGTGTGAACTGCAGAAAGTTTGAGTTGTAATGTGTTAAATGTGTATGAGCTGTTTAGAGGATCATGTGAAAAACTATTAGAGATGAAATGACAGCAGAAAATTGAGGTTTTATTGTGCTGGGTGTTTGTACTGTATTATGTAAAAAGTTATGGCTGTAATGCATTACCCGGTGAAAAGATTTTAAAGATTTGAATTACGATATTTTGAGAGTTGATGTAGGTTTAGTTGAGCTCCAGTAATAATATTGTACAGTGATGAAGTAATGGTTGAATACCAGAGTGAGGGAAGCATCTGGGTGTGTTAGTTCTGCAGAGGAAGTTTACTGAGTGACAATGATCCTCACTACAACTCAAGTCGTTACCATGAATCATGTCATTAACCTCAGTGTTGTGTATTATGTCCTTGTAACATTATCGTTGTGTGTTGAGATATTGATCAATATTGTATTTGATCGTAAAGCTTCAGTCCATTTATGTTTAAACAGTCCTGTACGTGCAAATATTATTATTGTACAAATACAAAAATTAGTAAATCATAAACCTCACCTCTAACTGTCCAGTGTTTGGTGAGTGATGCCTTCACCTCCTGACGAGTCTTGTTATGGGTGAGGGAATGACTGATACATACTCTACAATTATTCTTATTTTTGTGTTAATAAAGATAAGAAAAGTTGGCTAACTCTCGTCACGTGTTGGTGTCAATGTCAAACACTTTTACAGTATAAAGATAAACGTGAGATAAGACCCGAGTGTCTGTGTAAACTGTCTCTCTTTCTACCTCACGCCAAAGGACTTTATTCCACTTTTCCTATCGACTAACATTTACCTTTCAGGATCTAACCCAATAGATATTGCCTCACCATTTCTGCTGTCTTAGTTTTCAATGAATAATAACATTCACTTGTTACATGTTCCTGTATGTTACACAGTGCATACCTTGATAGGTGCACTATACTATAACGGCAGTGTAACAATTATATGTGGTCTTGAAACGCTTTTGTAACTAATAGTATAAGTCGGTCTTCACTTCTCAGAGCAGTGAACAGAAAATGTAGATCACAAAAACTATGAAATACCAGGACGGTGATAGAAGACAATCACTGCATGACCCAACATTTACTTGGGATCTTTTGATGGAGAGTTTCTGTTATATACGGTAATACCTTTTAGCAATGTTGAAATCATTTACCCAATTCAATAGACTGAGAAATGATTGTTAGAAATGTCAAGGTGAAATTGTTTAATTCGTGTAATTGTTTTGTCTCAGAGGGTAAGAGCGAAAGAAAATGCGGTCGTGTTAAGTGATGAAGTGTGGGATTGTACAATAGAGGGCCAGAGTGAGAGACCCAGAGTTACCATATTTGTATGGGGAGGAATAAAGGGATCCAAATAGAAAGAGGAAAATAATTAAGTAAGAGATGAAATAAGCTGTAAGCAAAATTAATAATACTAAGTTGAGAAAGTAGATGAATTTATTAGAGAAATTATGAGGAGGGGAAATGCAACGGTAGTAGTGCAGTGGAGTGTAAACGTAAGAGGGATAAGTTCTAAAGTAATGTCAAAGAGAACACATTGTTCCTGTATAAGATTGAAGGATAGTGTAAAGGCGTCATTATGGAGAGAGTTAGTGGTTTGAAGAGAGTTTTGTGGGGATAAAAAGTTTGAAAGTTACTTAAAACGTTCCAAAGTACTGTACCAACAATCTCTGGGCACTTTAGCTAAGATGAAGTGTGTACCAAATGTCCCTCTTTACGGTGGAGGATAGGAAGACCTTGCTGGAGCAGCTATGGACTGGATAAATCATAAAAGTTAGTCACCAGAAAAACTTACGAAATATTGTAAACGTTTGGGATAATTGGAGTCTAGCTGAATACTCCTGTGTTTGTATTGAGTTTAGCAAGTTAGTATGTGTTTGTGTGTGTGTGTGTCGGGAGGAAGGGAACTGCTCCAGCTTGTATATTATTAAACCTTACAAAGTTATGTTCTGGCTAACTCCCTCCAAGTGTAGGAGGCATAATACCTGTTCTCTTGTGGAGCAAATTTGGGCATTACTAATTTGCTTTATATGGCCAGTGCCACAAACAAACAAATGTTTGGATTTGAACATTTGTAATCAAAGGTGAAACGTGGTGGTTGAACATGAGTGATGTACTACAGAACATTCATAACTTGTAGTACAATGTGTAACTGAACAATATATATTCTATTATCTCTATTTTTCCTGAAGGTGTGTCCTCGTGTTTAGGCTGTACAGTACTGCATAGATATTGGTTTAGGAAGTCAAGTGTGTTGTCCGGATGACCAGAACAAATATGTCGTCGATATTTTGCATTGCCAACTTTCTTCTATTTTCTTGTCATAATAATCTATTGAAGTACCGTATGTCTATTAACTTGTGTCATTGATATGTACGATTGTACGTGTTCATTCATCTAAAAATGTGTTAACTCTACACCATTCCCGAACACTGTACAGTCACCCACAATAGTCTTGACACCCCTTGTGCTGCTCCGTCAACCCCAAGATTCAGACTCATGAACCTGAAGCAGTAGACACAGGTATTATTCTGTCCACGGATGGTTCGGATTCACGAGTCTGATTCTCGGAGTTCGTGAGCAGCAGAAGAGGCGACAGGACTTGTTTGTGACTGTACGTGGAGTAATAATGTTCCAAGTTTCTTAAGATATTCAGGTTGTTTTCACACATTTCTCACGTACACTGTTTGCTTTATCGGACTATATAAATTTCCTGCAAGTGTTTACAAAACATTTAGATGTTTATCGTAACTACAGATATTTGTTGAGTATATAGCGAATACAATTTTCTGATACACTAAATTAAATAATTAGATTTACTTAGAAATGTTATATACTTTCCTATAGGTAGTTCAGTCATCGAGTGTTTGAAATGTTGCTTTTAATGTTTACTGTAAAGTGTTTAGTTTCATATGGATGACTTTCATTTACGGTAATTATTCAAGAAAGAAGATAGAATATTCTATTAAAATATTGCATACCCTAAAGAATCTCCACCCCAGCTTATTTCACCTAACGATCAATCACCCTAACACTAACCTATCCTATTCTATCATATCTTCCCCTAACCTAACATATCCTAACCTAACCTAACCTAACCTAACATAACATATCCTAACCTAACCTAACATATCCTAACCTAACCTCATTCCCCTAGTGTTACGTGGTTTATATAAGTAAATACATAACCTTTACACACTGCAGGTACTTACTTAAGCTCTGTCACCCAAATTTAAGATGAAAGAATATATTTACGTTTAATTTTATACTACGATAAATATTTACTCACACAGATAGATGATTTAGGAGTCTTGTCTGATGTATGTTAGGTGTTAAGAATCGATTGACCAGATACAGTTTAGTTAATGTTGCTAATTATATTGTGCCGCTGCGAGAGAACCACCGTTTTCTTTCTTAACTTGTGGAAATTAATAGAAAACTAATATTCGAGTAATTATACCTATAACTAAAGAATTATTTTTATAGATCATTACAATAACACGCGGGGAAATAAAGATGATTCACCTACATCAGTGATTCTGGTGGGGGGGGGGATGAGGGTTTGTTAAAAGCTTAAGTGAGGCGTCATGTGATAAAGTTTGGGAACCACTGTCAGGAGTACAGTACTTGAAGTCTTTCCTGAAGACCCGTCTAAATAGTCTACCTACCGTTCCCTCATGTCGTGTACAGGTCTTCCCGAGTCAGTAGTGGTGTACCTAATACTATACGTCATTATACAGGGTGTCTCAATAATGTACACACACACAGCCTTAGAGATTTTCATGGAGACTGTGTTAATGTTTGTATTACAACAGCAACAGTGTCCTCACCTGTGGGGGACCTCACACATCAACAAGTGAGGGCGATGTTGATGTGATATAAACATTCATGAGAAGTCCACCAAAAATTGTTTGGCAGTGTGTATTAATGTTCTGAGACATCCTGTACTTATAGTTCATAGTAAAGCAAACTGAATCCAATCCATATATACATATATATATATATATATATATATATATATATATATATATATATATATATATATATATATATATATATATATATATATATATATATATATATATATATCACTTAACTATTGTAGTGTAGATTAATAATGTCATGACAAGAATAACCACTCTCAAAACATATTTCATACTGGACTGCATCATATAATACTGTGTCCATCATTCTGAAAGGAGCGCAACAGAGAGAAAATATTTTCTGATTATAATGGTAATTAGAATGAACTAAAAGTGGTTGTGGAATTGAAAAAATAAACCTTTATTTTTTTATAAATTCCAGTTTACCCGTTCCATTTAAATACAATATAATTATATACTGTAATGTGTACAATTATATAACCATACCTATTTATAAGAGACGTGTTAGATATTAGTACTGTATCGATATTAAGATGATATCAAGTGTATATTGTTTAAGTGGTGCACCAAACAAGAACTCCCAGACTGAACCCTCACACTGGTCGCATACAGTAGACCCTCCAGGTACATTAACAGCCATATTCACCACCTGTCCGGCACCACACTAGACCCTCCAGGTACATTAACAGCCATATTCACCACCTGTACGGCACCACACTAGACCCACCAGGTACATTAACAGCCATATTCACCACCTGTACGGCACCACACTAGACCCACCAGGTATTAACAGCCATATTCACCACCTGTACGGCACCACACTAGACCCTCAGGTACACATTCAACGGCAGCCAGGTACATTAACAGCCATATTCACCACCTGTACGGCACCACACTAGACCCTCCAGGTACATTAACAGCCATATTCACCACCTGTACGGCACCACACTAGACCCTCCAGGTACATTAACAGCCATATTCACCACCTGTACGGCACCACACTAGACCCTCCAGGTACATTAACAGCCATATTCACCACCTGTACGGCACCACACTAGACCCTCCAGGTACATTAACAGCCATATTCACCACCTGTACGGCACCACACTAGACCCTCCAGGTACATTAACAGCCATATTCACCACCTGTACGGGTACATTAACCACCACCTGTACGGCACCACTCCCTCCAGGTACATTAACAGCCATATTCACCACCTGTACGGCACCACACTAGACCCTCCAGGCAGCCATATTCACCACCTGTACGGCACCACACTAGACCCTCCAGGTACATTAACAGCCATATTCACCACGGCACCACTAGACCCTCCAGGTACATCAGCCATATTCACCACCTGTACGGCACCACACTAGACCCTCCAGGTACATTAACAGCCATATTCACCACCTGTACGGCACCACACTAGACCCTCCAGGTACATTAACAGCCATATTCACCACCTGTACGGCACCACACTAGACCCTCCAGGTACATTAACAGCCATATTCACCACCTGTACGGCACCACACTAGACCCTCCAGGTACATTAACAGCCATATTCACCACCTGTACGGCACCACTCTCTACTAATAATAGCTTATAGGTGTACAAATATTACATCGTCTATAGTACAATATAATGGAGCCCTGCAGCTACACGAAGACAAGCACCTAACACTTCAGTAATCACTCATAGGCTGTACCACATAGGCCCCCGCCCCTCTCCTTTCATGCCACACACAGCCATATACACCACTCCATACATGCCACACCAGCCCTGTACCACTCCATACATGCCACACACCAGCCCTGTACACCCTCCATACATGCCACACACCAGCCCTATACACCACTCCACATGCCACTCACCAGCCATATACATACCACACACCAGCCCTATACACCCTCCATACATGCCACACACCAGCCATATACACCACTCCATACATGCCACACACCAGCCCTATACACCACTCCATACATGCCACACACCAGCCATATACACCACTCCATACATGCCACACACCAGCCCTATACACCACTCCATACATGCCACACACCAGCCATATACACCACTCCATCACGGTGATCACGTGGTAACTGTTCTTCATTTAGTTGTTTAGAGAAACGAAAATGGACATAATTAATAAAAGGAGTTACTGATCTACGTGGAGAGTGAGTTGTGTTTATTAAAGGGTTTGAACAGTGCAGAAAGAACGAATATAGTTCATGTTCTTATGGATGTTTTAAACATCTATCAACTGTGCTATGCTGTACTGTGCTGTGCTGTGCTGTACTGTACTGTTGTCAGGTACTGTACTATAGTGGGGCGCTACAGGACCACATCTGAGGGTATGGTCGGGGAGGAACAAGGTGTGCACTAACTTAACCATCTTCATCTACTTAGGGATGTGCCATAACTACCTAATTTGACACTTTAATTTTTATCCTAGTTTTAATATTTTTTGTGTTTAATATTTTATGAATAGTTTTTATTATTAGCATTTGTGTTTTATCACTAATACATTGAATCCAAGTTGTTATACTCTAGGTAAGGTTTACTTCTTGTAATATCTTTGATATAATTTATAATAAGTAACAAGTATGTACAGTGAAACCACTATCTAACGAACTATAGAGATGAAGGTTCGTTATATAGAGGGTCCGTTAGATGTGAAACCACTATCTAACGAACTATAGAGATGAAGGTTCGTTATATAGAGGGTCTGTTAGATGTGAGACCACTATCTAACGAACTATGCAGAGATGAAGGTTCGTTTTATCGAGGGTTCGTTAGATGTGAAACCTCTATCTAACGAACTATACAGAGATGAAGGTTCGTTTTATTGAGGGTTCGTTAGATGTTAAACCTCCTTCTAATATTCATGGACATTTCGCTGTATGTGTAATTTTGCTGCAATACGTCATAGCAAATTAACAAATCCCTTTTTTATATTATTTTTATTATTTCCCTCGGTGTTTAAAGGTCATATTATACAACCACTATTCCGTGTTAAGTCAAATAGGTTATGTAATATGTCTTTAACTTACAAACCCAAGTTCACAATGTAAATTACGTTTCATGTTTTTATCACAGAAGTATGGCACTATTCTTTCATTACTACACCATGGTGCTGTCATCAAGTCGTACACCAGATAAAAAAATCATTAAATAGGTTGTCCAGGTAATATAATAATCAAGGTAATATTAATTAATGAACTATGAGTAAGATTACCTGTATATAATCTAGTCAGGACTTGTCACTGAAATAACAAGTCGTAGTTTACCTTGACGCCCCTTCACCGCGGCCCATGTTTACAAGCAAATGATTAAAATAGGTCATATTCTGGTAAATCGTCGTGAAAAGCCTAATATGGTTATTAATTCCCATAATGATGGCTAACAAATCTTTACCCCAAGATATTATACCAAACAATATATTTATATTTTGTAAATTATATGTACTGTATTGGAGATTAGTTTAATAGCTTATGTTTGACTTGGCCAATATCAGAACTGTTGACAAATACTGTATGAAACATATATGGGGATTACAGACTTGTGAACATATTGACAATGATAAATACTGAAAGTTTATAATGACTGTTTGTAGTATTGTACACAGTGGATTAAATGTTGAATGTTGTTATTTTTTTTATTCTCATGATTAAATGCCCATTAACTTATTTAACATACATCTAGAATTATATGCCACCCAAGATGTGAACCAATGGCTGAAATACTCACAAGTATATCTAACCAAACCTTAATATGCTCTCTACTCACAATCTGACCCTCGTGAGAAGTATATGCACTGATCAGCATAATATTGTACAAAACAAAAACTGCTCGTGTAAAGTTGTAATGGTCTGTATGTGTGTTGGCCTCCCAGTGAGAGTATGCATTAGGGTGTGAACTGGGGAGATAGACGTAAGCTGGCCTGGTTTTGTATAAGATCATGAGTGATGCATATAGAAAATTGTCAAGGAAACATACATGGTGAGTGAATAAATTGTTGCTGGATCGGTCCAAACATGAAACCTACAGTACTTTGGTAAATGAGCTAAGCTTGGATGAAGAAAAATTCAAAGAATATTTTCACCTGAGCAGACAACAATTCTCACATGTTCTCCCTTTGGTTGAGGAGGATTTGGTGAAACACTGCAGGAGCAGAGAAGTCATTTGTCCAAGGCGGCGACTTGTAATATGTATAACAAAATTCATGCATAATTATAACATAGGAAATAATATGGACCATAGATAAGTGACACAAAAATTTGTATTCCAAAGAACCTTTTATTGAGACCACGATGCATACTTAATTACCTGATTAAATCACCCTTTCTAGGTCTCTAAAATGTATTATATTAATGCATTACAAAAATAGGTATTTTGGGGTATATATACCGAGTGAACTGATGAAATAGTTTTCAAGTTCTAATAAGACTGCAGATAAATACTGTATAAAATGAAGCTTTTTGTTGGTCACATTTCCCCTCACTTATCTGTGAAACGCATAGCCATGGTAATTGATGTCTGGGTGAGGAGAGCAAGAACTAGTCACAGTGTGGATTCCCTCGTCCCTTTCCATGTGGTTGTGTCTCAATAGCTACAGGGTGATTGACATGACCTGCAAACCAATGACGCTAACGCAACAGGAAACAACCTTGTAAATTCAACATGTTCTATTGTGGGCTCTACCACTACCGTATGAATGGAATCCTAGCCTTATCTCTTCTATTTTAGGATTTTTTTTTTTGCGTAAAATTCGAGGACACAGGAATACATTATTTGATAGAAAAAATCAGATTTCACCGTTAAATAATAATATATTGGTATGTGTTTGAGACTCGGCCTAATGACATCTATAGTTCGCTGACCTTCTCTGAGTGAGTGAGGTGTGTAAGTATATTAAACTAAATATTGATAAAGTTACCATGAAATTAGTCAGCAAACAATATCTAAGTTATATAGAGAAAACAGTTTAATTAATCCCATATCAATTAGATCAAATAATTAAGTTTATAACAACCATAACTCATTTAAAACCACCTGTTTGTCCTACCATATTTACCTATTTATGTGAAGTATCATCTATAAATTAAGATCAATACCCCAATAAAATTAACCACATAAATTAAGGATATAATTAATGAAATACCCACATAAAAGGAGTTATAATAGACATAAAGATGAACAATAAAATAATTAGACTCACAGAGGTTCATCCTAATCTATGAATTAAGATCAATACCCCAATAACATTAACCACATAAATTAAGGATATAATTAATGATATACCCACATAAAAGGAGTTATAATAGACATAAATTAATTAGACTGACAGAGGTTCATCCTACACCATGTTTACTAATAGACAGCAATGGCGGCAAAGGATGTGATAGAGCTTGATTCTGCTTCTTCTGACGATGATTACCAGGTCAGTCCTATTATTAGAGAGGAATCATTATTAACCTGATGTGTAGGTAGTATAGAATCAATGGTAATTAGAGAAAAATTGGTATCTTGGGTATTTGATGGTTTAATAAAGTAGTGGGAAGATTTATCACTCCTGGGCTTGGGTGTTTAGGGGGGCTGTTTTAGGTCGGTTTTGGGATAATTAGAGTTAGATCATTAGGAGAGGGTAATTTGTTGGATTTGGTGTAGTTAGGTAAGGTATATTAGTGGGAATCTTTATTATATTGGCTTAGGTTAGGGTTTAAAAGTCTTGGTTTTTGAAGTACAGATGACTGGTAACACAACTGTATGAGTCATTTAATACCCAATAGTGATAAATGTATATATTAAGTGTCTTCCATTGTGTTGTATGGATTAGACCTTAGTTTGTATCCTAAATGTATGGTGATCTTAGTTTATTGAAGATTATCACTTTTGGGTAAGACTCATCAGTAACCATAATGGGAATTGATAACTAAAGTAGGTTTTTCTTATGTTCCTCATGGTGATTTGATAGAATATGTCATATTTTTGTTGTTCATACATATTTAAGGAGTTATGACCATGATTTGCAAATGAGGAAAAAATGTGAGGGTTAAAACACACATAAAACCACTAAACAAACCTCTGATAACTTGACCTAACCTTCCTTCACCTACAAAAAGTCTTAATGATACAAAATTATTTTAACCGGTGGCGGAGTAAAAGGTGAGACGGTTCTCGTTTTTGCGTGTTTTCAATGCTTAAGTAACGAGGAAGCCGTACCTTGACTGATTACGTCTAGTTGAAATTTTGTGCATTCGTAAATATATAATATTCCGTGAAAATGTTTTCAGTGAACTTAATTACCTTGTTGGATCCTCTTCCTGACCAGATCGCATGCAACAGACATAAACACATTTGGTTGTGTATGAAATCACGTTCACAGAATCACTTTAGGCACGTCCATCAGAGAGATAAGTTCAATCCGTGGTTTTGTGTTTGTGTTTTATCCCAACATTTTCCCTCATCAAAATCCTGCCCCTTTGAAAGAAATCATTGTCGTTACTAGTGTTAAAAGGGTCATATCTCCATAAATAAGCATTAGCGAAGAAGATAAAAATCATATTCTTTAAAATTTTGTTAGGGTGTCAAATGAGTCTTTACCAAATACGTTATTTTGAAATACAGTACTTAATCACAGTTGAGTGCCTGAGCAACATGAAAAATACCATTTTCGTAACATTATCCTTAAAAAATTCTGTCCTGAAATATATGTACGGCTGTGTCTTACCAGCTGCTGCTACATTATTTGGTTTAATGAACAAACCAAACCTAGCTACCTAATTTAACCAATGATAAGAAAAAGTTAGGTAGGTTAGGTAGATTAATGTTATCACTGATAAATCAGGTAAATTTTTGCTTTAAGACATGAGTCTCTAGGGGTTGACCAGTATGTTTTCCAGTGTATTTTGGTGTGTTTTAAGCGAATCTGACTTTCATTATGGGCGAAAATTACTCGTTTTTGCCCCGCCCCAAACCCCCCAACAATAATGAGGGAGAGCTTGGGAAATCTAACCTAACCTAACGTACCTAACCTAACAACATAACGTAACATGACCTAACGTAACCTTACCTAAGCCCTAGCTGGGCAGAGCCCCAGTAGGCCTAGCTTAAACTAACCTAACACTCAACAGACAGGGAGAACACCATGATTATGCAGGAATTGGATAGCATGATCATCTTTCTCATAAAACTCGGCAATAAACTTAAAATAATCATAGGAGCACGAATCACACCCAACCTCCACCACGGCCATTGTCAGACTGGTGATTGAAATTCAAATCCGTATCCGGGCTGCTTTCCTTGAAAAAATTCAAATGTGATTGGTCGAAAAAAATTTGCGTGATGAGATCGATACATCATTGGTCACGACTGGATGACGTCAGTCAACATTGCACATTCGTGATGTAAACACACTCATAATTAACTGTGTTTCACGCAGATTTCACAAACGAAGACTGAAAAGTACGTAAAATCAATTAATTCAATTGTGTTGCTATTTTCCATTTCCGAATGGTAAATATGGGGTTTAAAATGCTCAGAATAGGGAGATCTAAATGTTTCAGTAGTTTATAACTTTGGGGCGCACTACATCCAAAAGTCAAATAAAACCATAAATCATATACAGTACTGTTGCAGTAGCCGGAGATGTTGCTGTTCATAATAAAGGTTGAACTTTCTCATAGTGCCTTCACTCAAACTTTGCACCTGAGTCTAGGGTCAGTTTGTAACAAGACAGCAGATAGGTTGGCAGACTGACATGCGAAGAGTCACTACAGTTATTTCGCATTTAATCTATTTTATTTATTCCCTGATATTTTAAAGGATAATAACTCTTCTCTTGATCTCTGATAATTTCTGCACTTGGAGAAGCAGAAATTATCATGTGAAATGCATTGTTAATAGAAATATAAAGAGAACACAATGAACAAGTTAGGGAGGTAAACTGCTCTTTGCTGCGTGACGTCACATAGTGCGGTGGAGGATGTCAATTAAATTTGTAATCTTGTTTTTTATTGGCATATCATCATTGTGTACACCAAAAATTGTCATTAGAAATATTTTTGGGGTCTATGAAAAAATTTGGTCTGATTTATGACAAATTAATTTAAGAAAGGTCTCTCAGGGATGGAGTCAGGGATGGAGTCATTTTATTAATTGGCAAATGCCTGTAGTTTGGAATAAGATGTTGGTGTGGTAATGAAATAGACACTATACTGTGATAACCTGAGCACTGTAATAAAGAACACTGAATCACAATGTTGTAATTACCAATATTTGATGTCTTACAGCATCAAAACATCCATTCTGGTTTTACAAAATCGCTTCTCACAGTTACAAAAATTTGCCAGCATTTGGATGGCGATGCATCTTAACGGACTCTGATGAAAATGAACCACGACCCAAGAAAAATGACTTTGACCCTTGGACTTTATGACCTCCTTACTGTACAATAGCTTGTTTTATATCTATATTGAAACAGTTTATTTAGCCAGAAAAATACTGACACAGAGTGGACAATTAGAACAATATTGACATGACTGAGTCAATTGAGAACCTGAGCTCTTAGTGGCAACTGATATATACTGTACATACATTTATCTCACTTTTGGCTGTAAAGGAGTTGTAGTGATATACAGTATATTATTTGTTTTTAATTAAGAAAAATAAACCACATCTTGCCTGTTGAAGGTCTAGTGACCGGAACTCCTGTAAGGGGTATAATGGGGGGGAGGGAGGGGGGGTATGCCCCCCCCTCCCACTCCTCCTGGCTATGGACTTTATGTGATTTGATACGGAAAATTTCTTCTAATATTGCATAGATGTCTAAGACTCCATCAGGCTTGATGAAACTGATATTTTATACTGTTCATAAACAGCCTCAGGTTGTTATGATATAACATTAGATTTGGGTGTAAAAATTTTAACTACCAAAAGGGATAAGTACACCTAAATATTTCTGTTTTATTTTAGATCTCCAGTAAATGAATAAGATATAATTAGAAACCACTTCAGTACTGTACAGTATTGGGCACCACTGTGGTGTAGAGAGACACTCATGGTTGAAGTGACTTGCCCTGCTTCATAAATTAGTCACTGTCTGAGAATAGATATGAACCCATAGCTAACATTTCAGTCTGCCAGTTTAACCACTTGGTCATGCCATATATCTATACATATGTGTGCACTACTAAACAGTAATAGGAGCTAAAAGTTACCATCTTCAGTGAGGAGCTAAAAGTTACCATCCTTAAGTCTTTAGGTCAAAGGTCATAAAATATTTTACTTTCAGGAACCTCCTAGAAAGCCTATTGGGTGGAATTATCAGTTAACCACATCCAAAGATGAAAAGGTTAGTAAGTGATCGTTGCTTGGTGGACCCGGCACAAGAGTGGTGTGTGGTGCTGTACTGTACCATGTTGGGAAATGCTATCGTGTGTAGTTCTTATTTTTTTTTTTCAAGACATGACTTTGATGTAGAGAAGCTAAACATTACCTCTACCAGTACTGTACAATACATTGGCTAAAGGCAGGTCCTGTAGTGAGTTCTTTATGGTTTGTCTCTATCACTGTTCTTTGCCTTTGCTAGACAACCTAGAATATATAAAGGCTTCTTAAAGATAAAGTCGGCTCTATTTCTCAGTTTTTATATTCTATGTTTATCATTTATAACCTTGGTACATTACTACTGTACCATAATTTGTATTTTTTTATAATACCTGCATATAAAATTGTAGAAGGCAACAGGGAACTTACACGAGTGGAAATTTTTGTGTACTTAAGAAGTGTCATTAGTTGTGGTGATAGATGTGCAGTAGAAATTAAAACAAGAACAGGTCAGGTAATAACAGCTGTGTGTGGTCGGGACTGTTGTATGGGTTATGTAAGTACAATCATTCAAAAAAGTCTCTCGTGCTGCTCCACGAACACTGAGATTCTGACTCGTGAACCCGAAGCAGTAGACACTGATGTATTATTCTGTCCGTAAATGCTTCAGATTTACGAGTCTGAATCTCAGGGTTTGTGGTTCAGGAGGTGAGGCGACAGGATTTGTGTGGGTGATTGTGCACCGTAGAGGATAATAGATTACTGTAGGTGTATATCACAGATTGAATGGAATTTACTGTATGAAATAATGGTTATGGACTATTTCTCTGTGTCAGATTTGCCGTTGTTTTGAAGGCTGCTGTTGTATGTTATAATGTGTGCACTAATTTGCTTCAATTTTCATACACTTACAGGAGAGGAAGACCGGGAAGGCAAACGGCGCAGTTGTTCACAGGATCGAATACACGAGCGACGACCTCGAAATTGTCGAAGTGAAGTCGGATTCGAGTGTGTCCGAATTTCCCAAATCAACAGTCATCAAGCATTTCCCGCCCTCCAGTACACGAACAGAAATTCGTAAACAGATCCGCAACACTACCCAGAAAACCATCGGAGACTTCTTCGGAAACGGAAGATTGAGTAAGAAGAACACGGAGAATGCCAAGAGCGATGGTGACGCAGAGTCAGGTAACTGTGTCAAGGAAAGAAAAGGTAAATCAAACGAAGAAACAGATATATTGAATTCAGAACAAGACAGTGCAAAGAATAAGGAGGTAAATGCGGAGGAAAATAGTGAAACAAGCATAGCAGCACTGGAGAATGTAAGTACTGTACAGTATTGTATCCTCAGAACTAACTTTTGATTTGTTGAAACTCTTTGTGGCAAGTTGGTTTATTTTTTCATATTATTACTGTATGTCCTGTTGTTCGATGGTGATCTTTACCTGCCAACACACCGAGCATACAACCACTCACCACCGAGACATCAGCCATGCCCACAACTTTACACATATACAACAACAACAAAAACGGTTATAAGAATAAAAAAATGAAACACCATACTGTATATTTAAGCGAGAATAGTTGCCATCACACACACACACACACACACTGATAAATTAACACTCAAACTTTGACTTCCACATTGAGTCTGAAATGGTGCAGATTCTCGTTTTCCTTTGATATAGTACAGAACCTGTAGTTGTAACTCTTATGTATATATTTTATATATAGTTTTATGTTATATATATTTTGAGATAAGAGATCCCTTTTTAAGTGAATATGGCATCACATGATTTAAATTTATGATGCCAAACGTATTACTGTACTGTATATGTACATTATACAAATCAGCCAACCTTCCACATCAAATCAATCAACCTCCCACATCAAATCAATCAACCTCCCACATCAAACCAATCAACCTCCCACATCAAACCAATCAACCTCCCACATCAAACCAATCAACCTCCCACATCAAACCAATCAACCTCCCACATCAAATCAATCAACTTCCCACATCAAATCAATCAACCTTCCACATCACTTTTCTATCATGTTTCTTTTATATCCATAAATGCCCACAAGTCTCTGGCAGGAATGGATGTCAACTTTTTTCCTATCAGTAACCAGCCCACAGGTAGTTGTAGGGGTTTTACCAAATATAAATAAAAGAAGTAGATAGATAATTAGTTAACTATATTAGTACTAAGATGTCTGTACCATTTCAGTTTGTGAGTCGGTGGGAGGAAGTCAAATCCAGTAAGGACGACCACAAGATCCGAGACAAATTGTGGAAGTATTACTATATGGCTCACTCCAGCTACTCTCATTCCAGGTATTGTACAACCCACCAGACTAAGTCCTATCAGTCCTCTCTCGCTGTGAACCTGTGAATCTGTAACATGTCACAGTGCACCTACGAACCCAACAGTGTGTGGTGTGTCAGTATCACAGGTTCATGGATGGGAAGGAGAACTGACAGGATTTTTTGGGTGGGTGTATCTTGAAACATCACTCACACACCAGTTACTTATTACACTTGCTATTGTTTATATTTTATCAAGAATTGATTACCTTTTAGTATATAGGGTGTTACTAAATTACCTTTTTTTTTTCTTTCTTGAATGTGAATAGAAGATTAACTAACAGATAAAGACACTTGGTAACAACTTGTAACCCAACTCAGTTTTTATTTTATTTTTTATCTGTCAGAAGACTTTCACATCTGTACCATAACCTCTCATTTTGTGGTGTTTTTTACGGATGTACGTTAGCTACCCGGTTACATTAGGGGTATACCAAAGGTGATTTTTATTGCACACATTTAAGATAAATTGCGGAACTATGGACGAGGATAATGGACTACCATCTTTATTCTGAATGTGGATTGAAATTGAATGTCATTTATATTTTGGTTTTCAATTACTTTTTTTGGCTTCATTCAGCACAAATTCACCCAGCATGAGATTCTTTTGGAATGTATCTCTCATGTTAAGTGGAGTCAACCTGATCTGTACAGTACAATAGAATAAAATAATATTCAATAAACAGATGATGCATACCTCTATTTCTTATGCATTACTGGAATAACTATAAACATTTTACACTCCAAAAGAAGCTTAACTGACCAGTGTGTGTGTGTGTGTGTGTGTATGTGTACAATAATTGGTCTGCTTCTATATGATGGATAAACTAATGGGATGGTGTACAAAACTAATATGTACTGTGAAGCTGACATGATACACACACACACACACCACCGAAGGGTCAAGACGTACCTGGCACTCCTCTCGGAGCAGCCAGGTCAACTGTTAAATTGGCCCATACCAACTCCCTCCCCTGAACCCTCCTCCCCACCGGAATATCAACAAGTTCTCGCCAGAAGTTACAATTTCATTTAGGAAAGGAATGGAACCAGTGTTAAACAGAGGTGAACAGTGGTGAACAGTGCTTAAGTCAGTGAGAACAACTCAACAGTAACAGTCGTACCCAAGTTAACCTTCACACAGTGAGGTCCCAGGTACCCAGTGATAACTGCCCATGAGACCCAACAACAACTAGCGATGTGTTAATCCGTCTACGATAGGAAGGCCTGGGACCACGCCTCACTCATATAACACCATCTGTGAGGGAATTACTACACCACGTGGTCCCTCATAACACCATCTGTGAGGGAATTACTACACCACGTCAGGTCACTCATAACACCATCTGTGAGGGAACTACTACACCACGCGAGGTCCTTCCTAACACCATCTGGGAGGGAGTTACTACACTACATGTTTGCTGTTCAACACCTACATTAATCTGTATGTTCACTGTATGTTCCTTTACCTTTCTCTAATGAAGGCTTTTGTTAAACCACCAATGTATGTAATAAGTCATTTATGTCCAATGTATATTTTCAGCCTTCGGGCTGCAGAACTTTTTCAATAAACTGTTAATTATTATTATTATTACTATTACTACACAGTACTGTAATGGTACCTGGCAAATAGACAATCGTCCATGTCTTACTGTATTTTGGGAATAGCGAAATTTCAGTTTGAATTTATTTATGATTGTGTGGTATTGGGTCAAAACTCTTGATTTTTATTCAATGTTATTATATATATTAATGTGTTAAGCTTATATTTGGTCGTTTGTTCTAACAGAAAGTTCATTAGAATGATTGAGCGAGCAACACGGAAGGTCTCCATAGACAACATCTATGTGATAATAAAGGACATTTTGGACAGTTTGAAGCGCTATAAAGATTTACCCTACCAAGCACAGGTAAGATCAATGCTTCTTCATGATAGCTTCATATATTGTAATTTATGAAGTACACTATCTTGAAGTCAAGTAATTACTGTAAGTTATGTACGGTATGTATCTGGTTTTCAATTGTGTGTTGTGAAGTGCAGTGTGAGGGATTGTGTGTGTCTGTGAGGGTATTTATGGGGGATTGTGTCTTGACTGACTCTCATAACCTAATCTGTATAACCAGTAATTCACAGTACTGTACTACTGCAGGTAGTATAATCATGTGGAAATGCAAAAATGTTTTTGGCTTGACATAGAAACATATGTTTATGGTCAAATTGTCATCATAGGTACAGAAATAATATCCAGTGCAATAGTTTGGAAACATCTTCAGGTGCTCCTCTACTTACGAACGAGTTACGTTCCTGAGGCTTGTTTGTAAGTCCAACTTTACTCCTGTAGATACCAAACATATTGTAAAAAATGAAAAGATTATGGATATTTAGTACAGCCTTAAAACCTGGCTCACTCTTCTCCTCTTTGGTAATGTTTGTTCTATCTGAAATTTTCTTGAAGAAATCCAGTCTCATCCACATTAAACACCTGTTCTGGCAGGTAACCCCCCTCAGTGATGATGTATGTATCTCTTAAAGTTTGTAAGTTGACGTTCTTAAGTAGAGGAGCACCTGTACTTCATTGTCTCAAAAACTCCGCAACAGAATTCCTCAAAAGTTACAATTGATTTAATGTGGTGGGTCGATTTGCTAAAGAGACTGTGTTGTCTGATATTCCAGGTGTGTGATACAGAAATCTGCAGCATGTGATGTGGATTATGACTTTTTATTCAAACTTTAGACAAATGTGACAAGAGATGTTTGATAACAGAAGTGGTGGCTGGGGCGATGATGAGTGTGGTTTATGACTCGGGAATGCTTCAGGTTATTTCTTCACAGTCTGTCATTATTACTGACTATAAAATTGTATCTCTTGTGATCAGAGACAGTTGTATCATTGTCTAAATACAATTTGTATTTTTTGTTGCTTGTGCCTTCATGCTGCTGTACTGTATGTGCAGGAAGAGGAAAACCTGGAGGTGAGTCTTACCTTTTCTGTGAAACACCATGTGATGATTAGTTAGCCAACACACCTGAACCATATTTATGCTTGTACAGTACAGTATAGCATGGTTCTGTGCATGTCAAGAGTATACTGTATCATTCTTGTGAAGGTTTAATCTCTCCATTATTTTTGCTTAATAACAAGAACATAATGTTGTAAACAGTTAGCCGACCAGCTCTCCTCTTAGATAATAGTAAATGGCTGCCGCTGCTTCCTGTCTAATATCCTCATTGCTGTAAATCTTTGTGAAAAAGTTTAAACTGTTCCATCATGTGAAAATGTCATAAAAAACAACTGCAATAGGAAAGCATCTGCACACTCACAACTGCTGTCCCCATTATAAGAGAATAGTGAACCAAGGATAGGAAACAGTAACAGATATCAAAATGTCCCTTGAAGTTGTTTGTCAATGTGGAAGGAGAAAAGACTCAAGCATGCCATAAAAAGAAAGAAAAGATTGTTTAGTTTATTATGTTGTTTTTACAATCACAGTGCCACCTGTTGAACCCACTAGTAAATACATTGGTAATATTACTTTTGTACATCTGTCGGTAATTATTTCTATGTATTAATCACACTGTTAAGGAATGACCAGTTTACTTCATTGATCTTAGAATAGCATCTGATAGTTATATAGTTGTTACACACATGAAAGTTGGAGGTTCATTTGAAAAATTTTATTTGCACATTTAACTTGTTGAGACTAACAGATTGAGCTTTTTTTTTATACAACTATTTATTGTTTGTAGTTTGTCCTGAGAATCATCCTTGTTGTTTGTTGCAGGACACATAAGGTTTTTTTTATCTATGTAAGAGTTGTAGTGGCGTGAATGGCAGACTGCAGGATGTTATTGACCTTAGGTGTGCTGTATGTGTGGAAAACTCAACATTGTAGTTATATCTTTGAACTGTGTGGATGAGTCTTGCTGCCTGGGTGACATGATCAGTGCAGGGGGTGGTGCTGAAGCTACCTCAGTTGCAAGAGACTGAAGTGGTTGAAGAAAGTTTATTGACAGCAAGAGGACTTTCTCTTCTTGTAAGAGGAAAGGTGTGTGTGCAACTGGCATAAGAAATGCAATGTTGTATGGCAGGGAAATATGGATAGTTAAAGAGGATGACATACATAGGCTTGAGATAGGTGAAGAGAGAATGGTTTTATGTGACGTTGAAGATAGAAAACCCATTCAGAGCCGAGAGGATGGCTGAGTATTCAGAGTAGCGACGTTTTGTGTAGAGGTGGGCCGATAGGTGCTCAGGCATGTGGAGAGAATGTAGGAGAACAACATGTTGGTCAAGAGATGAGTATGTTGGAGTATGGAGGGAAGGAGAACTTAATGATAGATAATGTTATGGACAGGTGATGAATGTTTTAAGAATGTGACTCATTCCTTCATGGAGTACAATATATACAATATCTCATGTAAAAACTCTTCAGAAGCTGGGAGCCAGTGAGGACTCCTTGGGGGAGGGCGGGGAAGCGTCGCCACTACCAGAAGAAACCGAAGAAGATAAAAAAAGGAACTCTAGGCTAAGAAAAGTGGAGAAGATGATGAAGGTAAGTGTTGTTTTGTCTGTTTACCCACGAATCAATGTTAAAATCTCTATGTTAGTGGGTTAGGCTTCTCCTTATTTTCTTGTTGTAGATTGCATATAAATAATTTAACAATTCCTCTGTTTTAAAAGGGAAATGTTTAAAAAAAAATAACCTTTCTGCATAATAAATTTTTGTAAATTAAGAACGTTTCTCTCTCCTGTGACAGTTGAGGCTGATGGAAAGTTTCAATAAACCAGAAACAGTTTACTATGGTAGGGGCGAAAGGCACTCCATTATCTACTGTCAATTAAGGGTTAATAAAATGTGTTAAAGGCTAAACTATTAGAGTACATACCTTACTTTTTCTCTGGGGCAGCTGTACCTGCAAGGGATATTGTAAACATGTAAATTGCTTTTATTAATGTGAAATTGTGGATGCTGAAAGTTCTTTAATAGAGAACTTAACTTCATGTGCCTGTGTGTGTCTTGGCCTTTACCTGTAGCGTGTAGGGCGAACAGATGCTGGACATGACAATAATTTACCTTGTCATTTCACAGTGCATTTAAAAAACTATTTATTTCAGGATATATCCGCCAAAATAAAAGAATTGGAATCAGCGGAAGTCGACTTTGACGATGACATAAACTCTTCGTATTTGGTGGAGGAAAGGTAAAAATATTTGCGTTGCTTTCTGGTAATTATTGTCAAAAGATTAGTTTTTAAAACTGACTTGAAATATAATTAGTGGTAGGTATTAGGATTTTGAATTGTGTTAAGCCAACCTAATACTCCTAGGAGTGACCGAAGCCAACCTAACTACTCCAATAAGTTCCTGAAGCAACCTAATGCTCCAACGAGACAACAAAGTCAACCAAATGCTCTTGACAAATTACTAAAGCTAAACTAATGCTCCAATGAGTGACCAAAACCCAACCAGCCTAGAACGAGGCAACGTTTTATGTATCCAGACGCTGTATCATCACTAAAGTTGATTGTGTCCTGTTTCAGACTAAAAAGACAATTCAGCAAACTTCACGACTATTACTGCAAGCTCGCCCAGTGCTCAGCCGCCACAGGTCGTCCGATTGAAAGAAAATTTCGCTATCAAGGTAAAGAGTCATATTCTAATTGAAGACTAATCAGTGTGGGCTAGCAAATTTGGGATAAACAGCAAGAATGTCCCCAAGCACCCCTGAATCTGACCTATATATACTGTCAATGAATATGATGTATTTTTTTGTGTACGAACCTCTGTCCTGCGTGGCAGTGAGAAGTGATACCACCCTCAGTGTCAAGACCTGACTAAATTACTCAGAATAGGCAAACTGTACTCCAAGCATTGTCAATAAATTTTTTAAACTAAAAAATAAAAAAGGTAAAGAGTTGTCAAGTACTGTATACAGTTACATATTTCATAGTAGTACAGTACAGTTAAACCTCCATATAATGGACTAACCTCTTACGTATAACTGTAGTCCGTTAGAGTGCGGTTTCTTATTTATTGGACTTTGATATGGTGGACAACCCTCTGGAATTGATATAAGTGTGTGTACCCCGGGTGGAGCGTGCAACGGCCTGCGCTACATACAGAGGTGTTAAAGTGAGAGGGCTCGCTCACTTTTACGCCTCTGTGTGTAGTGTAGGCGGCTGTATGCCCCACCCGGGATACATCACCGATCTGGGGTACAGACACAAGACTACACATATACAGTAGTCTGTTAAATGAAGGTTTCACTTTTATTGAACACCAGATAATTTATAAGAGAGGTAAATATGTGAAGGGGAGGTAAGAGGGCAGAAAATGGACTAAAAAACTATTGACTGTTTTAGTGTGTTCAGTGTTAATCCCTCTTGGTTAGGGAGAGTAGATGAAATAAATGAGAATATTGAAAGGAAAGAGTGAGAGTGTCAGTAATAAGGTGCGGAACACTGATAATGAATGTAAGTCTTGCCCTTTTTTGCATCTTACACACTTATAATCATGCTGCAGACTATGTTTTACTTTATATACAGCACATCAGGTGAGGAAGTTGAGATGAGATTAACCTAATGAGATCTCCTTACATCACCTTTCTTGAGTTCATAACAGTTAAGGAAGGCTAAGAGGCTCCTACGGGCTCTTACTACAGACTCTTAAAGTGACTCTTAAACCTGAATATGATGATTATGAGTTTATGGAGAAATGTGTCCAAATGTTGATTCACTAGTCAACACAAGTATAGAGGCAGTCAGTGGATGAAATGTCTTTGGGATACATGTGGTCACCCTCCAAATCCTGTACATTAGGGTCAAAAGCCTTCCTATGAATACTTTACATGAAGGATCTTGTTAGATATACAGATGGAACAGGAATTTGGAAGAAGAAAAAATATTGTTGGTGATTCTCTTAATTAGAGATGGACTTCTTGTGATTGAAATTCGCTAATTTTATAATTATTTCACAGGGTCGAGGTGGCCGGAGGTTAACAAGAGAATCAGCGCCTGGGTGAACAAAACTAAGGAATTTCCAGATTATGTGGACATCTTAAATCTTTTGAAGAAAGTTACAAAGCAGAGCAGTTTGCCTCTCAGACCAGAGACTATTCGAGTACAAGGTAAGTAGGAGTGTTTTTTTTACTTAAAGATAATGCAGGGTGATTTACTTCCATCTTTTTTACACTTCTCTCAGTATGGGTTGTTTATTGAGCACAGTACGCAGGGTGACGTGCCAGACAGTATACTGTATCTCACAACACTTACTCTGCAGCTCAAGAGATATTCCGGGATGTGGGAAGAATGCTGAAGGAGCGACGGGAAAGTGACGACCTCTACAACATATATTCTTACGCTGAAGACGACGCTGAAGATCCCGCTACCAAAGATGAAGATCTGAACCAGAAATTGAGTGAAAATGAGACGATAGCAAAGGAGAAACTAGATAAGGTAACTTAGAAATTGTAATTACTGAAGGAAAACTTGAATATAGCCTGATGGTGGGTTTTTGCCATTGTTCTTGGTGTCATCAAATATTATATAGGCTTTGGTTCAAATCATATACCATGTTGTTTACAGGGCTTTGGTTTACATCATACACCATACCTGTACATACAATTCTGTTCATTATTGTTCAATGCCTAAATCCCCCTCCCTGGAGAACTTCCGTCTCAGGAGTTGGTCACAGTAGAAGAGTCTCCAGTTCTCACTACAGTATCCCTAACAATCTCTCAGTTGTAAAGTGGACAATGTACTCATTTACTTTTTAATGTTCAATTTTAGGTCTTCCAAGAGTTTGTTGATAAAGATGCAGAATCAAGAGGAATGGGTGATATAAATATGGATAAGAATAAGGAAAATTCCAAGGCAGAGGAGTTAAATACATCAGGTAGTGAGCAGACAGAGACCAAAACTGAAGAGAGTAAAGAAGGAGGAGAAGAAGAAGGTGAACCGAACAAAGGGACGGAGGAGAAACAGGAGGTCGAGGATGATGAGGTAGAGGATGATGACATAGAGGATGCTGTTGATGACGATGATGATGATGATGATGACGATGATGATGATGATGATGTTGAAGAAGTCGAAAATGAAGAAAGAGAGGGGAGTGAGATTCAGCAGCCGTGTGTGGTGTTCGAAGACGATGACGGAGACATTACAGACGATGACCTGAAGAACGTCTTGGCCAGCGCTTGTTTTGATGAAGAAGTAGAATTTTCTGAAGAAGGTACTGTAGGTATTTCTCTTATCTAATTTTTATTTATTTTTACTTCTAGATAAAAATTTTTATTTTGTTGAAAATCTCAGTATAGGTACTCCTGAGCTTGCCGATTTCAATTCTATGGTCCATGATTCGATTGCAGGATTAATAATGCTTGTAATGACACCTGGACGATTTAAATGAAATTTTTACAATGCTAATTAGTCACTAACTATGGGTTTTGAGGTGTGATTTTGGTGTTTTTGTGTTATTCTGGATGTACAGTTGAACCTTGCTAAATCAGACTAATTGGGGCAGACCCCAGTCCAAAAAATGCGAAATTCAAAAATGGCGAATCTATTGGGGGAGCAAGAGATAACACTGCTATCTTGACTGTTTAAAGAAAATTAGATTTTATAATGTTATTACTGCAGTACAACAACTAAGGTCTTTAAGTGCATAGCGAGGTTATTAAAACACTAGACATCAACAATAAAATATATGAAACAGAACTCTCTGGGCTGAACATCAGACATAAGTGGTTGTGGACAACTGTTTTCACCGAGGTGAATGCTATAGTATACTGTAAAGTGTTGTATGTAAGTAACCACAATACAGAACTATAAAGATGAGGGTAAGGTGTGGGAGATGTGAATGGTCTGGGAGCAGCAGGAGGGGGGGGGGGTCGAGCACAGGTGGGTGGCTCCCTCCCCAAGATCCTTTTTACACATCTTAATGCAATTTCACTATAATTCTCACATCATTTAGGTTCATTTGGTGCCGGGTTGATAAAATATCATTATAAAATAATCGACGTTCCTACTTCGGGTTCACAAGTCCGAATCTAGGGGCTCTTGAAGCAGCGGCGGGACCTTTGATTGTGACTGTACTAGTGAACAGAAGATTGAGGTGTGAGGTAAGGGATGAGAGCAGTTTGAAAATAGTAATCATTATTTGGAAGCAAAAATTAAACTAAATTTCATCAGAAGACTCAAAGGTTTACGAAAAAGGTATAAAAAATTTATGGCCTGAGGAATGAGAATGTGTCTTATTGTGCCAGAGAGGTGATTGAGGTGAAGTGATCTTACATGAATGGAGGATGAAGTAAGAGAAGTTAGGGAGGAATGGGAGTGGTTTAAACGTGCTTTCCTAGGAGTGTGGGTACAAGAGAATGAGAAGAACGAATGATAGGTTGAGAGGCTGGTAATAATTGAGAAGTAAGGAGATATAAAAGAAGGAAGAAGGTGTATAGAAAATTAGAAGAGAATAAAGAAAATAACAAATGAATACAAAAGAAGAACAGATCAAAAATTGGGAGAAAGATTGACTCAGACTTTACCCCTCTCACTTTAAGTCAGATTTTCAGATTTAATACAGAATTATGATACTCTAACCTCCAAGGATTTACACTTTTACAGGATTTTCAGGAAGATTATAGCATGTATCAGAGTACTGTACTGTACTGTATGTTGGGAAGAGAGAGAACTACTCAAGTTCCCGGTGACGCTAACTCTGTGTCAGTGATGGGTAATGTTGATGTGGTTGTTCAATATCTTCATGGAGTAATAGAGGTGAAAACTAGAAACTAATTACTGTAGGAATTCAGTAAATTTTTTTAGGAATCCTGCTGTGTTTATTCATGTCATTTGTTTAAAGTTTGTTACGTTATTAATATTTCAAGAATGTATTTTTTTTTTCAGATATTGCGGTGATTGACAGCGAGGAACTGGGATGTCGTAATTCCGTAGCAGATGAGGATGATGATAGTGAGGTCGTGTGTTTGGATGATGATGAGGATGACGATGAGGATGATGATCAAGAGTTACCCACTTTAGTCAATTCACCGGTGCCTAATTCTCCCAGTTCATCATTACCTGCTTCGAACACTCCTAGTAAAAAGCGCAAGTGTGAAGAAGAGTCATCTAGTCCACAGAAAATGCAGTGTTTAGAGACTCCGCACCCTTGATCCTTGATCTCGTAGTCCACCGACACGATGTATTAATAGTATTATTGTCATATTTTTATTTTTTACTGTAATAATTATTTATGGTATGCCACAGTATATTAAGATAAGCTTGTCAACCGTCACGACTCGTATCTCCTGGGGTTGAGTCCGGCTGACTGGTAACACAAAAAAAAAACCATTCTTTGTTATTGAAACATTATACAGTATCTCCAGATAAATACTGATAAGGAGTATACAGTAATAACAACCTTGATGTGACTGAGCCAATTGAGAGGCTTAGTGGCATCGGTAATCCTTGCATCAAATACTTGGACCTGGTGTTACTAGTGATCATAGACTGGATGAGGTGGGATTGATACAGTGTACACTATCTCTTCTTTTTTGTTTATTCCTGATATTTTTTAACAATTTTGATATTAAAAGTTTTTATGGGTAATTTTTTAATAAGCACATGGTTTTACTGTACTCTTGTGGTGGCTCAAATGAATTATGTACACTCGCCGCCAAAAACTTGTCGAACGCTATAAACAATATGCAATCTGAAAAATGAGCGAAGAATCTGTAATCATTCCGAGATGACAAGCCCCATTCTGCTCTTTCTCACATACATTGTGCCCAGGTGTTGGAGAGTTGAGACTACAGTACTAATCTGACAATGTCTCCTTTTGAGGGTTTGAATCTGGGATTATATGGTGCAGTTTATTTTTGTAACTGCCACGCCTGTAAAGACGAGTGTCTGTCTGTATAGTGCAAGTGTTTTTTCTACATAACCCAGGTTGATTGAATATTGTATTCACAAAATTAAAGATGGGAATTTTTTTTTTTTACTGGTGATTATTTATGGATAAATTTAATACTTTATATCCTTAAGGCTTCTGGTTTATTTTGCACCAGCTTAATATATTTAATGCCACTGAGAGTTTTATAATGTTGTGTTCATTGATTCTCAGGTTTTTTTATTGCAGATTTCTGCAGTTGAATTTTTTTTTGGGGGGCGGGATTGTCAGTAAAGGGTTCATTGACATTGATTATGGGATAATAACATTTAAGTTCAGTTCTCTGTGGGGTTTACATTTCTATAGTGTAGAGTAGAAACTGGAAAAGTCATGCAATTGTTAAAACAAAGTCACAGGGTATATTGCCACATTATTTGCAACTCTACTACTTATTGTACAAACTTCCCACATTGCCAACATTTTCCCTCCTCTTGTCCATGTATAGTTAATCCCGTAGCTGCATTTGTCATCTTTTTTAAAGTATTGATGGGATTTTCTTATGAGAATCTAACAAAAAAATCACAAAGTCTCTCCTGGCCAGGGATTTAAATATTAGATACCATTGCGCCATTAATGAAGACATCAGCTCCAGATGTCTGACTGTAATTACTGTACAGTACATTGAAATGGTAGTTTATGCCTTTTGTTTGAAGTGAATGGTATAGTTTTATATTAAACCAAATGTGGTGTAGTTTTATATTTATATTATTCGCTTCATAGTCAGTTGATGTGGTTACAGGGAGTCTTAGCAGCTATGGGGTTAATAAAAAACCTTTACTGTATTTCCATAATTTTTTGTGGTCTTTGTGGGGAAATGCAGATTTTTACTGAAATGTATACCATATATTAGTATTAAAATTTATGACATATATTGTAGCTTTATTAATCTCTTTTGTGACATGGAATTTTGCATATATGTACATACACTCTTTTTAACCCCTTCGCTATGGGGACACCACTTAAACGGGCGGATCCAGGGAGGGGTCCGGACGGGTTTTTCATCATAAAATTCCAATACTCGACATGTTCCCCCACCCACAACTTCTTGGACTTGACCCCCTTCTTTATATTCTTATATCCGCCCCTGGACTAAGTAAACATAGTACACATAATATACTTAAGCAACAGTCTAACCCTGCACAGTGTAATGCTTTCATCACACACCAGGAAGAAGGCTAAAGATGAATTACAAGAGAGAAACTGGAGATTCACAAAATAAAAGAAAAAATACTTCGGCCATATCATTAGGAAGAGGGTTAAAGGGTAAAGTTGAGGCAGTGAGAGATCTTGGTTATTGTTATTACTTTGGTTAGCATTCAACTTAACGTACATTTTTGTTAATGTATTGTATATGTATAGCATCATCACTAAACAAATTAACCGAACTGAACTTAACCTTATCTAACTTATGTAAAACTTAGTTATGGTAAGATAGTAAACAGCATCTTGAATGAAAAAGAAAATTCCACGTATAAATTAATTCCATAAAAACAAAATATCCCTATTTTACAAAACCATCATTTGTTTTAAGGCTTAAATGGGCGATTATCTCAATTAATCCATTAGCGTGACACACAGACAGACAGGCATGCATCATACTTTACTTTATACAGTACATACACTATAAATTACTGATAGAACTTCTTTCATAAGCGTTTATTAACAAATTTACCAACAAGAATGGTATTAAATCTATACGATATGTGTCTACCTTTTCGAGTCAGATTCTAATTCAAAATTTATTATAACAATAAATTATGATAACCGTTAACAATGAGCCTCAAGAGCTTCTCTCAGGCAACAACTCAAACGCTCTAGCCTGGGGTTCTGGCGTCCTTTCAACTTCATAAATGATTTAAGTTAAAAGTTATCTATTTTAGAGATGCTAATTATAAATGATAAGTTAAAATGATTATAATATTAATTTTTAACATAAAATTGTACTATATAAAGCTGTAAACACTATAAATATGATTATATGTGTTTGCAGAATTTCCCCGTTTTCTATGTCAGAGTTTCAGCGAGTTACCCATGATGCTCCGCGTCACTCGTCAGTGTTCCCTGAGCCAGTGACGGAGGAGGAACTGTGAGGTCCGTTGTATATTTCAAAGTAATTTCCTGTACCCTAAGGAATCTGGATTTTATTTGAGCACTGGATTGACACCACAAGACCCACCATGAATTGGGGGAATGAGCTTTGGGTAAGTACACGAGACATAAGAGTGGTGAGTGTGCGTGACCCTCGTCTTGAGGCAGGAGGGAGGGTCCGTGGGCCACCTCGGCACTCCATCATAACATTAGGTTTTCCCCTTTTGATTTTTTCTGACGTTGTATATTATTATTATGGTTTAAAATATAAATCAGCGTTAACATACACAGTGCTGCCTGGTTTATGTCTGGAAGGCGTATTATTAAATTCCTTTTAAAGCTTTGTTTATAATATTACAGTATAGTCTTGAGAGTGACTGCTGACCTATGTGGCACTGTACCCATCACACTGTGGCACTGTACCCATCACAGTCATAGAATCCTCAGGTCTCTTTAATACAACCTTGACATTTTAATAGTTAATAGTTACAATGGCTTCGTCACAAGTTAACTCTGCAGACATAATTATTTATAGTAAGTTTGCTTAATCAGTCAGCATATGTTGTGAAATATGAGCGTTGGTCACCAGTAAAATATGCAAGAGGAAAGTAATTTAATGACCATTGTGCATAAAAAGTTGGGTTAATTAGATTTGGCTGTATATTTTAAGAGACCACCACCAATGAATTAGATAAGTGGTTTTTTTTTCCTTTCTCTTATATTTAATGATGTTACAGTGAATTATCTTATGTATGTATAAGTATTGTTTGTAGCTAAGACGGTTGATTCATCTACTCGGTTTGCAAATCATTGTTAGATGCGTCACCCCAGAATATTTGTGGTTTCCGAGCCTGTTCAGTAATTCCAAAGTGATGATTGAGGTGGAATGTTTGGATAGACCACACCCCTCCCACACGGATCTCTTCACACTGTAGTACGTCACCCACCTACACATGCCACCTCGCCCACCTACCCATGCCCATATCACCTACCTACACATGGCCATATCACCCACCTACACATGCCCATATCACCCATGTACACACGACACCACCCCACCTAATACACACGACACATCCCCCCCACCTACACTTGACACATCCCCCCCACCTACACTCGACACATCCCCACCTACTCTGACACATCCCCCACACCACACTCGACACATCCACCCCACACATCCCCCCACTCACTCGGACACATCCCCCCACCTCGACACATCCCCCCCACCTACACATCCCCCACCCACACTCGACACATCCCCCACCTACACTCGACACATACATGACACATCCCCACACCTTGACACATCCCCCCACCCACACCTGACACACATCCCCCCACCTACACTTGACACATCCCCCACCTACACTTGACACATCCCCCACCTACACTTGACACATCCCCCCACCCACACTTGACACATCCCCCCCACCCTACACTTTGACACATCCCCACCTACATGACACATCCCCACCCACACTTGGACACATCCCCCCCACCCACACTTGACACATCCCCCACCCACACTTGACACATCCCCCACCCACACTTGACACATCCCCACCTACACTTGACACATCCCCACCCACACTTGACACATCCCCACCCACATGACACATCCCCCCACCCACACCCCCACACAACCCACATAACACCCCCACCTACACTTAACACATCCCCCCACCTACATCACATCCCCCACCTACACTTAACACATCCCCCCACATCCACACTTAACACATCCCCCCACCCACACTTAACACATCCCCCCACCCACACCTACATATACATCCCCCCCACCCACACTCCCAACACATCCCCCCCACCTACACACATCCCCCCACCCACTACACTGACACATCCCCCCACCTACACTTGACACATCCCCACACATCCCCCCACCTACACTGACACATCCCCCACCTACACTTGACACATCCCCACCTACACTTGACACATCCCCCCCCCACCCACATCCCCCACTTACATGACCACATCCCCCACCTACACATGACACATACCACCCACACATGCCCCCACCCACACATCCCCCACCCACATGACCCCATCCCCCACCACATGCATGACACATACCCACATGACATTGGCACATCCCCCACCCACAGACACATACACATGGCGTATTATCCACTCTACACATCACCCACTTACACACGACACATCACTGCCACCCACCACACAATAATCTGGTGTACCCACCCTCACACGCCACCACTCGCCTCCACTCATTGACACCCCACCTGCACACCTCCATCACACTATACCACCACCCACACACGATACCACCCACCTGCCACCTACCACCACGATACCACCCACCTACCCACACACGATACCCACCTACGCACACACGATACCACCCACCTACCCACACACGATACCACCCACCTACCCACACACGATACCACCCACCTACACACATTATACCGTTAGTTATTATTATTATTATTATTATTATTATTATTATTATTATTATTATTATTATTATTATTACACCACACACACACACACACTACACCACCCACCTACACGCACCACCACCCACTTATACACGACACCACTCACCTGCACACATTACCACCCATTAACACATAATACCACCCACCCACCTCCCTACCTACTGTGTCCCATCGTCTATCAGCACGAGCCCCTCATTTTCTTCACGTATTCAATCAGTCAATTATGCACACAACCCCTACACCCACCCATGATTTCCTTCATTACTTACACCACACATCTGCATAGGACAGAACCCATGTTGGTATACTGTACTAGTTTCCATCCAGCTATTTATTCCACGTTTCTTATACGCGTCTGTAAATGTTACCCACTTAAATATGATACATCGTGCCCACACGTGATGCCTCTCAGACAACACACACACACACACACACACACAGTCTCTATACCCTACTTCGTAATCGACATGGTGGGTGATTCCAAGTTTTATGGCTAATAAACCTGATTCGTGGCCCCGGGTATCCCTAAAGGTTTCATGGGAACACGGATGACTTCCTGACCTATTTCAGAGCTATATACTACGGTACTAGAGGCCATGTTTGACGGTCTTATTTAGATGTCACTCAAGTAGTCCGCACAGAGCACAATGTTTACTGCTCATGTTTATGTTCAAGTATTCACATATTGTATTCAAGGTGAGTGTATGTGTTTTTTTTAATTATGAATGAATGTGTAAGGTTAAGCTATATAAAAAAAAACAGGTGCTTTATACTGTTATAGTTTGGTTAGTGCGGTGATGGCCATACCCTGGCAGTATGTAAATGAGACAAGTTTGGTACAAAAAATCCTTCACGTGGAAAGACATTGTCAGTCAGCGAGGTAAAGAGCGGGCGCTGGGCTGACAAAGGTAGGTGGAAACATTAATGACACAGACAAGTATAGTAAGAGTTAACCGGAAACAATATGGTGGTTTTTTGTTTTTGTTTGTTGTTCACGACTTTTAAATACGGACAACCTCCATATACTGTAGCTACACCCGGATATAAACCCTCACTTAAGTTACACTGGGATAGTCCTTCATCCAGCTGTTGGTCTTGGGTGAGGTGAGTAGCAGCATAACAACGGGTTGGTGTCCTTATCATCTCCGAGTCAACCTGCTGCTCGCTACGGGTGCCAACAGAGAGCTCGTCCTTCCCCGCTGTACCTGTGTACCATCTCGGCTCAGCCACACCTTACCTGCCAAGCACATGTCATTATCAAGGGAGGAGCCTCTCAAATAAAGTGTTCTCACTGTGGG